TGAAGTTTAACGATTTCACATCAAGTTTTGTATTTATTCGATGTAGACTGTATTGTACGCATTGCCAACGCTTTGGTTTTGGCTTCAGCCTTTGGCACCAGCCAGCTAACGAAGAGAGGACGATAGCAGCAACAACAATGACGGAAAAATGAAGGAAAAAACCCATTAGCAGTGAATTTTTGGCAGCAGCCGCCACAGCTCATATGAGTTAACTGACATATTGACACACACACACACACACATACACTCACATTATACATGTACGTACATATATATCTACTCAAACATGTATTAGGGGAATATGAAAGGCAGACAGAATGTCAGGCTGACGCATGCAGCGCGACGTTCTTGCGGTCGTGTGTGTAAAACATTTTATAGGCAAATCGATTTTTGTCTAAAGTGCCATAAACACGCACACACAGCCACCGCCACAGCAACTACAACAACAGAAACAACAGATACAATACTAGTAGCGATAACAATAACAATAAATTTTACAACAATAACAATAAAGCGACACTATGAAGCGATTGGGGGAGCGACTGGTTTGTTGTGGGGGGACGTGTTGTGTTTTGTTGTGTTGTGTCTATGTCTGCGTATTAGAACAACAACTGCCCCGTTGACCGTGGCCAACACATTAATGGCTCAACTGACTGAGTCTGAGTGACTTAGTGCCCCTTGGAGTTATCTTCTCAATTTCATCTTGCCGCTTCGCATTCATCGTGCAATCATGGACAAACTTTGTGGTAGAACCACATCAAAGTCACTGTATTGCTGGAGCTTTTGGCATTGCTTGTGGCCCCGTGCCCAGAGCTTAGAACAAAGCAAATGCCAGCACATTATTCAAATTTGCTCAAGACTTTGCCTTTATCTAAAAAGAAGGCCGCCTTTAAAGTTGAACTTTAAGGCGGGCAAGAAGGCAGCTTGTTCACTCATCTTGTTTTGCCAAATTAATGAGCTTCATTTGGAGATTGATGTGCTGCAATTATGCGCTAGGCGAACAACACTAAAGCACTTAACGCACTGATTCTGATTAAGTGAGTCCAAACACGATAGCTGGGTGGGAGGCGGCAGAGTCTGTGGAGCCAAATGGTTGTAGGCGCCTTAAAGACGCTACCAACATTCTTAATGCCAAGACTCATGGCCTTTGTGGTATTCGTATAAATATCATGCACTGCGGTCAGCTGCGTGTCAATCAGGACATTTGCCCTTGCTCGGTGCAACCAGCCAGACAGCTGGCCAGATAGCCAGCTAGCCAGTCGGCACTAGCCAGTCGGCACTTGACACGAAGTCAGACGGCAGCCACAAATGTGCGACATTCATAAAAATGTCAAAGCAGACGCAATTGAATCTGGATGTGGGCAGACATGCAAGTCTGTCCTACACAGTCTCTTCGAGTGCTTTTCGCTTTATTGAAGGCTGCGGCAATGCCTCAAGAGCACCGCAAGGCAAAGAATAATGTTTAAGAACGCTTTAAAGCGCTGAGGGAATGGAAATTTGTATAAAATCAGAAATCATTTATATGCTATATATATTAACTTTTTTTAAAATTACACAAATGGAAAATTTTAATCACATTTAAATGCCAAAAGAGAAACCAAAAATGTTGATAAAATGATAAAATTGAATCAGAAGATTCCTCGGTTCCTCTAGGTTATGACTAAAATTTTCAAATTCGATTTTGTTACATTTCTCGATTATTACCGAAGCCGTGACTTAGTCAGAATTGTATACATTTTATGAAAATTTGTATAAACTTCGTGTATAGATTTTACGGCTATATATTTAAATATATTTATTTATTTTATATATTTATTATTTATTTAAATATATGTACTATTAATATTTGCTTTACATATATGATACACGCAAGGGCAGGGGGGGGGGGGGGGAGGCCGTTCCCAACCCCCTTAGAATCAATTTTGCCATATAAAGTCGACCACACGTTCATGATTATTTTTTCATTGATCATATGCATAAGTTATTTTTTAAATGCATCGTGCATTATTTAATCAAAATTGTAATTTTTTGGCCCCCCTTTGATAAAAGCTGGGGGGGCAGGCCATATAAAGTCGACCACACGTTCATTATTATGACGCACTATTTCGCCTTAAGATGGATTTGCGATGGATTTGTTAAAGTTTTTTCATCGATCATATCCATAAATTAATTTTTAAATGCATCGGGCATTATTTAATCAACATTTTAATTTTTTGGCCCCCCCCCCCCCCCCCCCCCCCCCCCTTTGGTAAAAGCTGGCTACGCCCTTGGCCCTTGGATACAATTATAATAGAATTAATAAAAAATCTTTACAAAGAGGATTATTTGTTGCTGGCCTTCTTAGCCTGTTCTTTTTTTTTGTGGAAAAATACGTTTAAAGTCATTTTAATTTTCACACAAAACTATTTTTGTGATTTGTTGCACTGTGGGTCTTGATGGCACCGAGCTACTGTGCCCCATCCAATTGGCACGCCATTGTCAACTTATAGTTCGTATAGTTCTTGGGTGTGTCTGACAGTTTCTCAAGTTTTGAGTAGGCAGCGCTGCTTTGTCGCCTTTGCTTCGGCCTTGTTCGCCTTAAGTGAAGGATAATGAGTTTGATTTGCGCCAATGCATTGATTGCTCTCGGCATTGCATTCGTTCGTCCTCCAATAGCTGCAATGTAATTAAAGTCGTGTCACTGCCAGTAGGCTCGACAATTTCATGTCTGCCACATTGACAGCTTAAAGCCGCTCTCCTTCTCTGCTCTGTTCTGTTGTGTTATCGGTTAAGTTTCTACATCCTGCTTATCTGTCGTTGTCATTGTTACCTTTTGGCCCGAAACGAAACAAACAAAACCGGGCCGAACCTTTATAATGAGAAAAGTTTGTGCCGCTTTTCTTTTCTGTGTAATTAAGAGGTTGCCGGCTGTTCAGAGTTGAAGAATCGAGCGCCATTCATACGCAATCATTTGACAACAACAGGAACAGCAATAGCAATAGCCAGAGCAACAACAACAAGACGAAGTAAACAAAGCAATTGATAGTAACTTGTGGTTAAACAATAAAAAATCATAAATCATGGCAAATTAGCAAGAGTTGAGGGCAACTAGAAAACGACAACCGCAACAGACAAGAAGCGAGCGCAGCAAATTCTGCTGAAATGGTAAAAGCCAAAGCTAAAACGGGCACTCGGCGTGCCCTGATGAGGCGGCATTAAGCGCACACACATGTAGCAATATCAATAACTTAATTAAGATAAATGTGAATTGTATTTAGTCATGGATGAGCGCACACAAACAAAAACACAACCACAGTCGCAATCGCAGTCGCAGGCACGTGCCTAACACAGCAGTCTCTCTCATAACCGACCCTGTCGCTCACGTGGGCCTAACAGCGTTTTGATGGTCAGCATTTTGGATAAGTTAGTTGTCGACGAAAATAAAACGGTAAAAATATATCTTAGTTAGAGTCTCTGCCTCCCTTAATTAACGTTTTTTCAGGATATATATTCACAAGTTGGAAGGAGATTTCTCATTGTGATTATTAAACCACCAAAATATAGGCAATGAGCTTAAATTCCCATTGTGACTAAAAAACCATCAAAATATTGGCAATGAGCTTAAATAACTTATTAAGTAAAGATTTCTACATATAAATTAAAATGTGAAATGCGAAACAATGCTCCACAATTTCTATTGAATCCTCTTTGATAAGAATATGAAGAAATGTATGCTATATGTATCCTCTATATAATTGGAGTTATTAATTTTTCGAAGGTAGTGAACCACTGCTAATTAATTATTTTGCTAATTTAAGTTGAATTTTGATTTTTTTTCGGATTGTAACAATAATACATACATACTTGTATACATATGGTTGTGGTTGATTCTTTGGTTGCCTTTTCAGGCAAAATATTCTTTTTTAATGTTCCCAGACAGTGTATAGGCAAGGACAAGGCTAAGCAGATGAACTACCGGGTCTCTCTCTTCACATGTGTGTATTTACATGTGCGCGTGTGGATCTAACAAACGGTTATGCCATTTTGCCGCTTTGGCCGGAAATCCGGTGATGCTGGGCGCACTTGGCACTGCAATTGGAATAGGGGGCGAGGATTTGGACTCTGAATTGCTGTTGTTACTATGCGTGTCGTTGCTGTTTATTTGCTACCAACACACACAGACAAGCGCCACAAACCTAAATACAATTAATTGATGTACGCTTGAGCGTATGCGTGGGCGTGGCCATGTTTATCCTTATTTCCATGCTTATGTCGAATGTGAAAAATGGATAATTAGTTAATTGTGGTCGCGGCTGTTGGCCCTGACTGCTGCATAATTTATGTACTTTAGTTATTAATTAAATGCGTCGGCTTGTCGACTGTTAATTTGTTTACTTGTTCGCCTATCTTTTTCATTTAAATAGAAAATTGTCGACGTGTAGCTTGGATTAGATTTGTGTGCTGCTCCCCTGCCCGAACCCCTGCCTAGGGGAAAACAAACGACAACGGCCACACATTTCTCATTTTGCAAATTTTTGAGGGCGTGTCGGTGTCTAGCTAATGCGCCTATTGTGCTTCTGTGTTAGCATTTGGCAGCCTGGGGCAGCGTGTGGTAGGCTATGGTGTTGTTGATTGCAGGTGGGGCCGTACCTCTATCTGTGCGTCTAACAGTCTGAATGTCTCTCCGCCTGTTTGTCTGGCAACTCGTTGTCCATTGTCACCATGTGGAATTGTCACATAAACCAAAGCAAATATGCACATGGCATATGTTTTACACACACAACCACACACAACCTCACACACACAACAAGCAATGAAAGTCCAAGTTTAGTGGTAGTTGTTGTTTTCTGCCTTTTAGTGTGACATTTTATGTGTCCCTTTTTGTATATGGGTAGTAGGTATATAGCTATATACGTGTGTATTTAAGTACGCAATGCGGTTTTATTTGACTTGTTTTTTCTTTGACTGGAGCTCGGTCCATTTAGTTCTATATTTGTGGCTCGACTGTTGCCATTACTCACTTGATCTTCTCCCATATCTCCTCGCCGAAATGTTTGAGCACCAGCAGCTCCAAGGCGTAGTTAACAAAGCCATACTGCAAAAGAACAGCAAATAGAAATACTTGTATATAAGAAAACAATAATCAAAAGTTCAAAGGTGATTTATAAAAGCAAGTGCGATTATTCCAATTCCAATTATTTCCATTCTTTCAACCTTTTAATTGTGAACAATAATTTGATATTTACTCAAAAGTTCATTATTTGGGAAAGTATTATTGTGCCAAAATAAAATTTGGAAATCAGAATAGCTTGTACTTACAAATTATAATTTTCCCTCATTAACGTAATTATTAACTTGAGTTATTTGCAGCTTTGTTTTATTTTTAGTTACAAAAAATACATATTTATAGAAATACTTGTAATGCAAAATTTGTACAAATTGAATTTTACGTTCAGCCTCGAAAAAAATTAAATGAAACGCTAACTTTTGGTTCATTTAAATTCCTATATGTATTTTCGTTAACAGATAATATTTAAAAATACTTTTTAAAACAGTGTACAAATTTTTTTTAAAATATAGTATTAGAATATTTGTAGTTAAAATTGATCTGAAAAACTACACAAGTTTGTGCGTGGGCCTGTCGAATTTATTGAGTTTGTATACATTATTATTAAATGGCGGTATATTTAATTAAATTAAATTAATTAATTTATCATAGTCTCGCTATCATTCCTTTGTTTTAATAGGAATATATGTTACGAAAATGTAATCACCTAAGCTGCCCATAATTAAGCGATAAACTCCACAATGCATTTTGAATCTAATTAATAATAGTCCTTGGCTCAGACTCCTTGTAAATAAAGCCACAACAAAAAAGAAGTTGTCTTTTTTAGACTTAACAATTTAATCAGCAACTCAATTAAGCTAAGTACTACTAAATAAATTGGATTTGTTTGAGTTTGTTTACATTTTTATTTAATGGCAGTATATTAAATTAAATTAATTAATTTATCATAGTCTCGCTAATGATATACCTTTGTTTTAATAGGAATAAATGTTATCACCTAAGCTGTTCACAATTAAGCGCTAAACACCACAATGTATTTTGAATCTAATTAATAATAGTCTTTGGCTCGGACTCCTTGTAAATAAAGCCACAACAAAAAAAGAAGTTGTCTTTTTAGACTTAACGATTTAATGAGCAACTCAATTAAGTACTACATAATAAAATCCACAACGAATAATAAGTATGAAATTACCGTTAATCAAAAAATATCGATGATATGTACCACAAAGCATGTGAAAACGTATAAAGCAGACATTTCATTTTGTTTCGAAGCTGATCTTAATATCCAATATTAAGTGTTTACAGTTGTTATTTTTGATTTCTGCAAAATACTTGTTTAGCACGCTTCAGGAATTAATTGGAAAATTCACTTCAAGGTCTTGGTTGCATTTGCTGCCACACCTCGGTACGTACACATTCTTATATATGTAGACACAATATTAATTGATTTTAATTCAAATGTGCTGGAAGCACGTTTCCATGTAATCGCTGTACTTGAGGTTGCTGCACGGAGGAATGTAGAGGATTAAGATATGTATGTATATATGCATGTATATGTGTCCACATTATTACACACTGACCCAGATATAAGACTATATATTCTATCCATCTACACGGTTATATATAGAAATCTCTTAACAATGTTTGTCATTGATAAACTCCGAAACAACTGAACCGATTTTTAATCCAGTTTCACATTTAGGCTAAATAGGATAGTTTGTATCTCAATTATTTATTGTTTGGATACTTTAATAGTAAATTAGGTATTTTTCCGAAATTTGTTCGCATTATTCAGACTGAAATAGAGCGTCGAGTTAGGGTTAGTTAGTTCTTAAAGTGTTGAGCGAAAGTATGTGTGTTTGCCGGTAATAAGAAGTATTCAATTATGTTATGTTCAATTATATTCTAATCTGTGATAAAATATTAATTTACTATATATTCGTTCAAAACTACTGAAGGTTGACGGAAAATCGTTTACCCTCATTCGATTATAAAGAAAACGAATTTAATTGTTATTTCGCATACATTCCATAATAAGAACATTTTATTTTGAAATATGAAATGTCCACAAAGTGCTTAGTGGCCGCTAAAATGCTCTGTAGCTAAGCACACTCGATCAGTATTCTACATATTTTTTCTTAAAGATCCAAGGTAATCACCACTATTTAAATTATTATTATAGTCTGGTTCATTGGTCATTGTATTGGCCAAAAGTCTTGTACTAAGCTTTCATGATTACATCTAGTTTTTTGTTGGCTAATTTTCTTTATGTCCAGAACGTTAACTCGAGCTGCCCAATCAGAAAACCAACAAACGATATTAGGCGCACCCGCATTTTAATTACATTTGTGAACTAAAAAGGATCAAATGGAGCGAACCCTTCTAAGTGCAAATGGGCCCCTTTCGGGGTTTTGACTGCGTTTCGATTGCACGTTTCAGCTGTGATTGTGAAAAATGCGAAATATGCAAAATCAATAAAAATTGCGCACTTTTATTTGTTTAAAATGTATCGAAAAGCAATCAATTTGATTTATTATGTGAAATCAAAGCAAAGCAAGCATACCATGGGAGACAGAGAAACACAGATAACGATATACTTGAATGACTGCAACCATTTGAGTGGTATTGGTTTGCAGGCAACGCCCAATCAATCGCTTCCGCCGGAAGTAATACTAAGCAAGTGAAATGCTTGAAATATATTTACATACATTACGCATACGTCTAGTAAGCCCGATGCCACGACAACACGATTTGTGTGCTTTTTTCTCGACGCTGCGGTTCGTTTGCCTGATGAAGATGTATCTAACCGATTTTTGATGTTTATTGCCTTTGTTGCGCATATTGAAATGTTATACTCGGAGCAACCGAAAATACGTGTACGAAACAGTCAGACGAAAATGTAAGACGCACATACATATATAAATACTACATATATACTCGCATTTTACAAATGAAAATGGGCTGATTTATCGAGCTGCCACAATCGAAATCATTAAATCAACAATCTTTCTATCTATGTGTTTGTTTGTATGTGTTATGTTGTCGTGAATATTGAGTTTTTTTCTGGCATTTCAACAGAATTTCTATTTGTGGTATCACAACAAAAGTGTCTCAAACCAAGCATAATTATTATCCCATTGTTAATTAGTAAATCAGCATTTCTAATGAATGCCAAAAATAGTTTGAACAATATTTTAATAAGCAGTAATAGTATTATATTTTAAAGAGTTAATTGACCATAAATTAATTAAAACTAAGAAATAAATGGAATTATTTATTGCTTATTGTTTATTATAGATTGGCAAAAGGAATCGAAATAGGCTTGAATATATAGTTGCAATAGACTGGGGAAACATTCAACTCAATGTTGCACAAACTCACCATTTTTGCTGCCTTTTAGTTTCAGCTGTGAAAGCAGTCAGAACTCGATGCGCGAGCAATTGTTGCAATGTACACTCCTCGCTTTAATTCGATGTTCATACGCACCACACAATTCGATGCATGAGCTTAACGTTTTTGCATTTTAGTTTGAAATTTTTTAAAAGTGCTCGTGACAGACTTTATAAATGTTTTATTTCGTATTTTGTGGAACAAAAACTCTGCAAAAAATGAATCAATTTAACAATTTTATAAGAGTCTTATGCAGGAAACAAAAACAGAGCATTCATTTAATGATGGCGTACAAAAGCAAATACAAATATAAATATATATGTATATGTATATATAAATAAAGTGCATGCGTGTGACGGCCATGCAAATTGAAATGAAACTTTGTTCGTTGGCGATGGCAAGTTTACGGCTGCTTTCTGATGTGGTGATGCGAATCAAAAATGCCACAAAGGACATGAATATTTCATGAATTTCCACTTTGAAATCGGCTTTATTTTACGCTTGTGTTTTCACTTTTTGCCTCTTCTTCGCGGATCGTCTGAGTAGTCTTACTCTTGGCTGTTTTTGCCCAGAAAGCTCTGCATTAAAGCAAACCTTTTGCATACGCGTATGTCGGGCTTCCACTTTAATCAAATATTTAAATGAGGCGAGCGATTTTAGGCAAATGCGCCGAAAATTATGCAAGCAAGGCGAACGTGCGTGCAAGAAATCAGCGTGGCCAAAGTTGATGGCTTAATGGCATTTACAGTGGGCCAGTGGCAGGTGCATATGTTGCATGCCACATGCAACACGTGCAACAGCCAAATGCGCCTCAAAAAATGGCACATCACACACACGAGCATACAAAAATACTTGTGTATATCAACTGGGTCAGAGTGCAAATACGTGAAGAACAAAAACCAAGCATGCAAAATGTTGTTGCGCTCAAGCGTGGCAGCAACAGCAACGGCGACAGCAATAGCAAGTGGCACAAAGGGTGCATAGCGCTGGTAAAAGTGGTTAATTGCACACACAAACGCAAGCACACGCACACGCACACACAGATGTGTGTCGATGTCGCATGCAAAGCATCGCTCAAAATTTATGCGCTACGCCATGTGCACGGCAATTAAAGCCGCGCAGCAAGCTGAGCCACTGCCAGGACTCTTGGCCACCGGTTCTTTTTTTTTTGTTTATTTAGGCGCTGGTGTGGCGCTGGCAATGGCTCAGGTAGTGGCCCGCGGGCAGTGCGAGGCTGGGAAACCTTAGCAAGCCAATCGGTAAGTTTCTCAACTGCCCGTTCCGAGTGCTGAGGCATGGCTTGCGTCGTCAACTTACAGTGCCAACTGTCACAGCCAAAAACAACAACAACAAGGAACAGAACCTAAAATGGTGAAATGGTGTGGGAATATACAACATTTAAAGCAAGATATATTTTTTTTTCAAACATTTCTTGCAAAAGTTAAAAATCGATACTCCTGTCCTTAGAGCTGTTTTAGTTTATTGTTGTTGTCGTGGCCATTAGTAGACTCGTTAAGGTGCGCTTGCTACTTGTATACAATTGTACGTGCCCCATAGAGACATTGAATCACTTAAAGATAAAATTCTTTTTTGAAGCATTCATTTGTTGGGATGGCCATAAATGCCAAGAGAAGCATTTAAAGAATACTTGTTATTAGTTAAAAGGAAGAGGCTTCAAAACATTTCATTTGCTGACTATACGATGCAAAGGAAGAATCTTAAGTAAACGTTCCTTTTAATTCTTCTTCTTTGCTAGGTCTAATAACGTATCTGACTACTCTCTGCTGTGAATCGGGGCATAGCTGGCCGTTTGGCAAATAAAATTTCTCCAGCGAGTCGGATTAATTATTAGATATTTATGTAATTTTTATAGGCTTTTTTAATCCTTTATTTTAATTTAGCTTAAGTTCTCTATTGTATTCATTTTTTTCTGTTTTTTTTACATCGACAGCATTCTTTGTCGATAAAATAAATAAATTAATTAAAATGAAAATAGGAGATTCTTAACTGAATTGTAATAGCAGTTGATATTCATGACTAAACATGAGTGCTTCGATTATTTCATTCGTGACTAACACTACTCAATTCATGAAAATAGAGTTTTATAATTCAGTGAGGAAACAAGAAAAACCCTACTTCATATTAATGAAATGAAGCCAAAAAAGATCATTCAGTGAATTGAAAGGTAAGTAAGAAATGGAAGAAGTTCCAAAAAATTATTCAAGAATGACGGTAAAAGCTGATTTTCATATCCATCTGAATGGGGAGTTTTCCTTACTGCTGTATTTCTTAAGTCTCTTTCCTCTAAATGTAGCCATGCCATTGTGCTAGTTTCTGCCTACAATTTATATACTTATGTGTGCTTGACTGCTGCCCCTTTTCGCTTGCCCCATTTCCGATTATCGCTGTCACTTGCCTTGATGTTCGTCTTTGTTGTTTGCCTTCGCCTACACTTTTATTTGCCATTTTGCGATTATATTGCGTATAAATCACAGAAATTCAGCCACGTCGCCCAGGTGCCAGCGCACTGGTGCTGTTGCTTCTTTTGCCATTGATGGTCCTTTGCAATACGTTAACAATGACGAAAATAATTATAATGAAGGTGAAGAAGAACCCGCATCCTATTCAGCACATATTAATTACATGCAACATTTGGCATTTGATAAAAGCGCTGGAGCCAATTGTGGGACGACCTCTTGAGCTGGTTAAGTAATTGATTCAATTTATAGTGTTAAAAGCTCCAAATATTGTAATAAATTGTCGGAGACACCTTTGGTGAGACCATAATTTGTCATGTTTCTAATTAAGCGACAACTGTAACGACAACAGCAACAAAAACAATATCAGCTAATGCAAACAAGAACAAAAATGATGGTGTGTCACGCAGGCCATTTCATAATTGCGACAAAATGGCGCGTGCACATAAAACTAAAAAGCAAACGAAATGTAATGTAAATGACGCCTTAGGCGTACCACCCAAGCGGACGACGACTAGAAGAAGATGGAGCTGGCGCTGGAGGTTGGCGATTGGAGGATAGAAACGTGCACAAAATGGTTACATGAGGCAGTTAAATGCTGGCACACAGCTATACGTTTTTGTACGAGTTAAGCAATTGTATATGTATGGTTAGAGCATTTATCAAAAATAATGGACCAAGCTAACTGGCAAAACGAGAATTGCCTTGGGGAAGCCAAAATCATGGACAGCACGAGGGGCAAATATCTAATAAACTTTGACATATTGTGTCGCATTTTTTGCGGGTGGTGCCAAGTTAGAGTTCGAAATTGTGTCGGGGGCGCAAGAACCATAGAAAACCATAATATAAAACAACACATAAAATACAAAACATAGGAGTTGTTGTGTGGCCGAATACAATAAACGAAATGTGCATGCAAATAAATGAGAACGCATAAAAGTATGCTTAGTATTTTGAACAAAACGCGCCAAAGTTCCGCATACGCCGCGTATGCCAAACAAAACATTTCTTTTTTCTTTTCTTTTACATTTGTTTTCATGTGATTTCTTCTTCTCTGTGGTACGACGGCTTAACTTATACCCTCTTGTTGTTTGGTATTTTTGACTCGTGATTTATTTGTATTGTGCTTCACTTTCACTTCTATTTCCACACTGACACACAACTTTCACTTGACTCGTTGTTTGTGTTGTTGATGCTGTCGCTTTTGTGTTGTGTGTTGTGTGTGTTACTGGCGATTGATAACAAAATACGCGCGCTGGGAGATGCTTTCAGTTCTTTCCGTACTACGCACCAAGTGAACAATTCGCTTGAAAGAGCCGTCGACGACTGAGCACACGAGGCTCCGTGCACTGTCTATTAAAGTTCGCTGGCCAGGACACTTGTGTGCTTGCTGGGTGGCTGGCTGGCTGTCTCTGTTCCTGCCAATGGGCTGCCAATTACTTTGCCTTGCCTACTCAGCTGTTTGTTGCTCCTGGTCGGCAGCATTTGCGAGTCTGCAAAGCGCCTCTCACTCAAAAGCTCAAAGCACTCACGCTCTCTCTCTTTTCTTTGCTCTCTGACATGTTATCAGTGCTGCCATGCAACAGTAGATGGCGCTGTTTATTCCATAAAACCAAACATTTTTAAAAACATTTCTCAAAAGTAATTTAAAGCTATTTAATCTTCATAATGAAAGAACATTCATATAGATGAGCAAAGAGAGTAATTTGAAAAAGTCTTATTAAAGCTGTAAACTTTATGGCTTATAGTAGATACTCACATCAGTGAAATACTTCAGGACTGTTTATTTGAACTCCATAACAAATCGTCCTGTCTGTTGAATGGTTTCGATTATATTCTTTGTTCACTTGTTTATTTATCTTTTACTTCAATCATCATCTTGTTGTGGCTCGCTCCTTACGCCGAACAGATGGCTTTGTCGCCCAGTTTATCTTATTTATGGTCATGTTTATTTATTTTTGCAAATTTCTCAGTTCTCTCCTACTCGTCTCGCCCCATTCTGCTTTCCTTCACACCAGTGGCACACGCATAATTTACCTATAACAATATACTATATAGATATATATGTGTATACGCGAATAGCTATAGATTTTCAGCAGCCCATAAATATTTCGCTTCATAGCTTCATTGTTAACAACCGTGTTCGCCAAACGTCTTTGCCGTTAGTGTTGTTGTCTGTGGATTTTTAGGCGCAATGACAATTCCTTGCGGCAAATAAATTAGATCAGCTGGCATTACAATCGTCGTTAGACACAGTAATTGAAATTGAATTGGCAGCAGGCAGCGGGGCGTACTGAAACGTAAGTGAGCTGGAGAGAAAGGCAGCTGCCGCATAATGACTTGCCATGCTTTATAGTCCTTTTAGTCCGTTGAAAACTCGCTTGATCTGGCCGGTGGTCGGGCGTGCACTTCACAGAATTTTCGGTGCACTTAATAAATTGTTTTTCAATTTTGCAACACAAAGGCATAATTAAATATCACGATGGTTGCTGCTATTACTCTGTGGTGAATTCAATTAAGTTGCCTGTATACCTTGCTGCATTTAATGAGCGTGCCTTTTGTGCATTTAACGCCGGTGTTATTTCACAAATGGGCAAAGGCTGGGAGGGCACCAGAGGTGGTCCAAGTGGCAGTCTTGCAATGTCCGATAAATGTCAACAATTCGCCTGCAGCGGATTGGCGTTGACAAGGTGGCAGAAGCAGTGGATGAAATGTGAAAGGACAGCGCTCAAACAGGTAGGCAACAGACGGCAGACAATCAAAATTACCGCAGGTTACGCATAAAAGCAAAAAGCTAACAATAAAGGAACAGGGAAGGGAGTTCTGGGCCGTTGAATGGGGTTGACAAGCCTACCCGTTTCCCATGATTCCAGAGATACTTTTAGAAAAAGCACTAAGAATTGCTCTATGACGTGAATCTCGGATTGAAAGATCCAGGGCCAGGGCCATTTCCGCATTGCAATTGTGATTCTGTTCCAACAATTTCGTACCAACCCCTCATTTCATTCCATTATGGTCTGTCAGTAGACGGATTTTTAAGCCAGGAATCTGTTTAATGATGTGGGTGTGACAAGCACTTTGTTGTGGAGTGAGATTTAAAGTAAGCGAGCGGGCTCTGCTGTAGGTCGGATGTATAAACTCCCGATTAGCGATGTACAGGCAAGTGCAGCTTGCTGGACTTATGCTTAAAGCCTCATTAAGGCTAAACAGGCACCAGTCACGATAATTAAAAGGATAAATGAACTTACCAGAAGGTAAGAACAGCCTCAATCGTTGTTTTAATTTTTAACACTTTTAAAATATGTCGACATAAAAATAAATAGCTTCCTGATGTACGTCACAGTGTTTATTACAAACTAGGTGACCGGCTATAGATTAAGTAGAGTGTAAGTGTAGTTGAAGAATGTAAGTACGATAAGTAAAGGAAAATGAGAAAATGTGTACGAAGAGAGTGGAGCTTGGCGAAGGAAACAAGACGGCTATTGAAAACCAATTTATATTTAATAAACACTTAAAATAAAACTACTGAGCGGTCTTCTTTAACCGTCAGAAAAAACCAACAGCAACTACTAAACATTTTTCTTAAGTATTATAATAATATCGGAGCAGATCTGCAGCCTTGGCAGCGCTGTACTATTTTAAAAATTTAATTAATCCATTTATTTATTTGAATTCACGGCATTCTTTGAAATGTTATTATTTCTTGAGAATCTTCTTTAAACTATTTTCATTAAAATAAAATGTTTTGCCATTTTTCCCTTTTTTATATATTAAAGGGATTTATGCTACACTATACACTTGCAATATATATACAAATGACTTTGTTCTAAAACTGATTTTTTATATTAATCTAGCTTTAAGCCATTTTTGTTATTCTTTTTTTTTTGGCAAATATAGCAATGTAAATAAATAAATAATTATTTCTTCGCCTTAAGCGGGTATGTAATTCCAAGTCTTCTCCAACACAAATTTTGCCCTTTTAAAAATTATTTCTGCATTTATGGACTGACTAAAAGGCATTCGGACGGACTGATTGCCAATTCAGAAATTTTCAATTGAAAAATAAGTTTTCGTTTCCCGCATTTTCTTGATAATTATTAACTCTGTAATGAGTAATATTTCGTTGCCTTGAAAAGAAATCGGACCTTAATATAAAAAGAATTCGGTGATTGAGTTTCAGTTCATCAGCGCGTTGTCCATATCTGCTAAAAAATTTGATAAGCTTTCGTTTTATGTTTAAAGAGTTCATCAATTATGCACACTTCGCACTTAATGTGCGAAATATTTTGCATCTGGGGCTCTAATTAACTTTAGCTGGACATCACACGAAAGGAGCACAGGAATTTAATTAAGAAGCTTTCAGTAGAGTTGAGTTCCAAGTATTGGAGAAGCTCTGCAGCACGATGGCATTGCTTTCAAATTGATATACTTGTAGTAAAGCAAACAATGCACCGGCCAGAGCAAAGACAACGCAAATTGCATTGTATTTCCATCTCCAGCGTAGAATCTCAACGAATCCTGACAGAAACAAAGGACAAGTGCAGTATGATAATCGCATCACACTTCAGTAAAGAAATTCCTGAAGTGGAACCGAGTTGCCAACGCACTTCACTCAGCCAAAAAGATGATATCAAGCTGTGGCTAGACGTAGTCAGAACCGGAACACCCGCATACTCGCCCGTTCCATGGACTTCCAAAACATGCACAAACCTACAAATATATATAAATACACAGAAGTATTTATGCACAAGCAGATTGTAAGAATAGCATCGCTCTGCAGGACATTTCAATGCCATTTCGACTGATGACAAACAGGAGCCAAGTTCTTCACATACTCATATATGTTTGTATGTAAATGCATTGGAGAGTCGTCGCAAGTTCGCCAGAAAACTATTTATTTGATGGGTAAAAATATCGCACACTTTCATTCGGTAAATGTTAACTGCGGTTCGCCCGCAATTTCAATATTTAAACTCATATCAGCAGGTAGCAATCATTGAAGCATTTGCCCAATCAATCAAACTGCCAACTGAACAAACACAATAAACGTCGACGCCTGAGCAATCGAAACTGCAACCGTTCCGCATAATGGTCGCAGAGAGGTGCCTGCTCCTCACCTGACCTGACCTGTTTGCTGTCAGCTCCCGCTGGCTTCTTAATTAACATTTTGCATTGAAAGGTTAAACATTGCATTCCAAATCAAGAAATTTATTTTCAAATGCATTGTATACCCTTCACTGGTGTGTGTGAGTTTGTAATATTCCTAAGGAAGCATGTCTGTCTGTCTGTTTCAATTACTACTCCTCCCTCGGTTTTGAAGCTAACGTCTTGAAACCTTCCTTTTTTAAAAGAGAATGTGTCGATAGCGACCATTTGGCATGAGCATGAGATATACCTTCAATGGAATGCCAGTTGCTTGTATGCATCTCTCCATTTTATTAAATACAAGTTATTAACATTAATCAAACAATATATAAAAACTTCAATTAAGAATAACTAACGCACACGTCTGCTCTCCTCGACGACTTCTTACTTATTCTTGACACTAAGAAGAAAGTTGTTAGTTGGGTTGATCTTGCTGTCCAAAGGAGTTGTTAAGCGGTCAAGTTTTAATGCAGCCTGGGTGTCGGCATATACGGTGAAAACTCTCTAGGCCGGATACTCATGGTCGGCCAATTTTTTTCCGCCCAAGGGGAGTGTTCACTTAAATACTTTATACACCGATCGAATGTTTTAGAAAAAGTGTCCGCCGAAGAGAGTGTCCATAAGGGAGAGGCGTGGCAGATCCCTAAAAGTGTACATATTATTGTTCAAGGCGAGTCGATATAGCCATGTCCGTCTGTCTGTCTGTATGAGCGCAAGGATCACAGCAAGTACAAGTGCTACGACAACCAAACTCGGTTCCCATAAGCCCTAAACACATAGACCTTGTTCTATTTTTTCTAATTTTTGGAATTTTTTACTCAGATTTGGCAAATACCTCCAGTTAGTGATTATGAGTCCGCATGCCATTACGATAGGTTAATTATTTGTTAAGAAAGTTATAGCCATAAATATATTATCTGCCAAAGCTCTGTCCGCAGCTGTTGTTGTTGCCGCTTCGATTTATTCCTGTACTGCATATATACACGCAGAGACACGATTCTGATGTAAATGTATGATGTTGAAACGCTACATGAACATGTCTCCACTTTTGTATATGTGTATTAAATAATTCGTAATTAATTTAATTAAATATATAATTAATAATTCGTATTTAATTTCATTAAATAATTTAACTAATATAATTTTTTTTAAATAATTAAAATAATTTTTTTTCTTGTTCCCTTTGGTGGGGTACATGGTATTTAAGAGTTGAGCTCGCACGACTTTAGCATTCCTTTCTTTTTTTTAAATAATTTTTTTTTTAATTTTCCCTTTTTGTGGAGAGTACAGGGTATTTTACTGTCGGGCTTGCTCGACTGTACCGTTCTCTCTTGTTTAACTTTAATCAACTTAGAACACACTTTTATTAGTGAATATATTATATAGTTTTAATCAATTACAAAAGCATTCTGTGGGTTGGAAGGACCGATAAAATATTTGCCAGGAAGCTCTTGCAACTTTTTCCCACATACTATATGTATCATCAATTATTTCAATTACAAAAGAACGTACATACTCGTACGTGTACTTGTGCCAGTATCTATCATTCATATTAAATTCTGTGCAATGTTTATAAAAATGCGCAACTTTAGAAAGCAAATATTGCTGTTCAAACTTTTTGCCTATAAACGAATTCAACGAAATTTCGTTAACTTTTTTTTGAAATATCATATGTTGTTATGTCTCTGTGGCATAAATAATTGAATATTGCAATTTTACAGTTGCCTTAACTCTGAGGGCACGTATTGATTTTTGCTTTGCCAACTCAGCACTGCAGTCGGTCGAATGGAATTTATGAGGCATGTGCGTGTGAGAGGCTGGAGGCAGACAACAGCCTTCATTAGCATGGGTTTCCTGTCCAACTTATGTGTGTGTAGCCGTACTTGTAGCTAGTTTTCCGAATGGTCAGATAAAAACATTGAATGCGTGCACACTTCTAGTTAGGTTTAGTCTAGAAATATCAACATACGTACATACTTATACGTTTGCCTTCGGCTCCATTGCATTGCTTTTCTATGGAAGATAACAAGCCAGATTTTAAAAAGCAAGTCGTGTAGATAGTAAGTATATTGCGAAGATATGCAACTAAAATTCCGAGAAGAGAAATACGATGCAGCCAATGCACAGCTGGAGGGAGATAGAGTAAGGTTCTTTAGAAAAAGGAAATGAATATGACAGAAATAGTTCAGATTTGTATATACATTGGACTAAAATGCCTTTTTAAATCGCAAAAACATTGTACATCAGAAAACTTTGTCGCAATACATATGTCTTTATTAAAAATAAGCACACATTTAAGATGCATTCAGAAATAAAAATCCACGAATGTAAATAATAAAAGTATAAAATATATACCCATACCAACTCAACGATAATCATCATTTTATACTTTCAATTCAAATACGAGTAAATAGGATTTCTTTTAAGCAGCTGCCAGAAGTTAATCATTAGACTTGTTTAAATATTTTTGATAATGATAAGCTAATAACAAGTATAATTCAAGTGATGCATTTAGTAGAGCTATTCAAGTGTAGTTTTCCGGATTAACAAAACGGTTATTTATTAAAAAAAATTAGATAAATTATCTATGTTGATATCAGTAAGATATTAAATGTTTAAATTAACAAAAAAATATTTGATGCCTTAAATTCAATTGTTTAGCCTTGACTTAATGCTTACTTAATATGTGTAAGTGATCAATACTAAGAATCAGCTAGTAGTAATTAAGTAGTCAGAGCTATTTGCATATTTATCTTTCTGAAAGTGTTTCTGCGCTTCCTGTTTTTATTTATTTATGTCCACAAACATTGACTGCCGACATAGGAGGAAAATATATAAAAATTATAAAAAGCATCTTATAAGCTAGAAAAGTCTAAGAAGGAGAAGTCTAATCAAATTACAATAATATATAATTAACGCCTCGGACCCAGTGGGGGAATATTATTTGCCCTTCGGCTAGCTGTGGCCCGTCTCACGGCCAAGTATGGTCAGAGGCGTCAATAGATCTACCCGTATAGAAACAGAACAACTTAAGAGAGAAAAGATTCTTAGAATTATTTAACAGCTAATTTTAAAAAGAAAAAAGTGAAAAAAATTGGAATCTCAGACCCGGTGGGGGAAGATTTTTTAGCCAGTCCGGAAAGCTATGGCCCGTCCCACAGCCGATCCTGATCAGAGATTCCGGAGAGGCTTTTATTAAAGGAAGAGACAGTTCGGTAGAGAGCAGGTGAAAATAATCATTATAAGATGGGCATAAAACCCGAAAAGGATTGTATTTCTGCTATTGAATCTAATGCAAAATAGAATGGTCTAGTCAAGAAAACCCATTGTAATGTTTTATTTATATACATACTTGTATTGTTGAAGTGGCTGTGATTAAGTTAAGGAACGTTGATTTTTGAACTCTTATTTATGATTATTATTATTTCCGATTATGTTTAATTGAACAGTGAACTATTGATTATAACTTTTCATAGAATAAACTTATCTGGACTTAGAATTACTTATAAGTTACGTATAATAACATTGAAAATGTGAACAGTATTATCAAAATTTTGTAGCAGGAGAAGGCGGGGAATAGGAGTCGACAAAAGAAGTTAATCAAGGAGGTCAAGAGAAGGCGTTGATGACGAATCGATGCATTTGTTCAATTTAAAGTTTTCTTGTAATATAAATACATATTTATTCATAATATTATAATATTCATTACAACTATATTCATACAACTATATTAAAAACATTGATTCTTTTATTTAATTAAAGTTTACTCGTCCCACATATACAGTAAGTATTAAACTTATATACATATTTTCCTTTACTTCGCCAATTTGTTAAATATTTGTTGTAATAAGTTTAAGTAGCAGCAGAAAGGTCATACAAACTGAATGGCCAGTGCATGCAGTTATCAGTTGCCACACAAGTAGCGTTGGTTTTTATTATTTATAAATTAAAGTAAAATTAAATTTATCTTCAATGGAATGCCTGCTATTCTGACTGAGCATCTGAAGCCCACTCGACTGAAGTGGCCGTTTGGCTGACCGCCAGCACACGTCACAATCACAATCACAGCCGCAGTCGCAGCCGCAGCCAGAGGCGCAGTCGCAGTCGCAGTCGCTGAAACAAAACGAAATCAAAAGTGCTGGCAGTTAGGTGCGGAGCGGGCTGAGCTCGAGTGGTTTTCAATGCGAAGAGGTTGCGATGTTGTTGCGGCTCATTTAATATGGATTATTACTATCGTTCACGTTTTTATTATTTTATACAGTGTATCGACAAATTATGTTTGACAAAGGTAGGTACAAATACGATTGTATTTATAGGTGCGTGTGCATGTAAGTGTGCCTTTTAGCAATTACTCTCAGATACAGGGGGACTCACAAATATATATTCAAATATATATACATACATATACAAATATATACATTTTACAGGTATGTACGTACATATCCACATACATATGTACATACATGCTTAGGTACATTTCTAATGGCTTACATTCGCTGTGGGTTTGTGTCCATGCCTATACGTCCAATGCAGGAACATCAGATGCTGGTAAACTTTGCACAAGAATTGCACATTATTGGCTATAACTTGTATTACAGCTGGCTTATTCATAAAAAAAATTAAATATTATGCTAAAATACCGAGATGTCAAAAAATGATTTTCAATGGAATTAATGTTAAGCTAAATATTTCAATTACTGTGGTTTCGTTCTCCGTTTCTTTGCTAACGCGTATAACAATATACAAATAATACAGCAGTAGACGTTTCATTTGGGTGCAGGATAATTAATCTGCATTCTCTCTTGTTTATCCATTAATTTTCTTTTTTCTGTAAAAATGCCAATATACATACATAGTATGTACATTGATTTCACATTCAACCAAATTTTATAAAATTAAAGTACGATATAAGGAGTATAACTGTTATACGCACAAAGCAACAACAGCATTATACTGGCTTTAAGCGGCTTGAAACTGCTTGAAATTACGTCAAACTGCTTGAAACTGCTAATTTTTCGTACATATAAATTTTTTGACTTTTGCAAAATAAACTCTTACTTTTTGTTCCGAATACTTTATCTGTGTGAGAGTTATTTGTAACATGATTTTACAAAACATAACATTGTTTAGTTGTTTACAAAAATATCTGATGGTATTAATTAATTAAGCAAAGAAGAGGAAGCTAGCAAGAATAAACAAGAGAAACAGCACTAAACTTCAGCTGTCGAACGCTCTTGTAGGAACATTTTAACTTCTTATTATAGACATAGATTGCTATTAATAAGTAGAAGAATTTAGTTCAACAAATGTAGGTACATAAGTGTGTAGGAAATGCGCAACACCCTGTATTTGGACTTAAATATGCTCGATCGTATGCTGGCAGGTGATGGCAGTGCGGAATTTATTACACGTTTTTTTTTGTTGTTTTCTTTTGACATGCAGAAGCTACTGACAAACTATTCGTCTATAACCCTAGGCACCCCCCCCCCCCCCCCCACAATTGACGTTTGTCTTTTGTTTAACCGGTTGGCATTTAGCAACAACAATAAACAATTGCACTTAACCTGCTGGGCGAGAGGTCTTCTGGGAGAGAAAAACATCAATTGCAAGCATGTTTAATAATTTACTTTTGCAAGCTCTCGGTGCTCAGATAAGCGCTAAGAAAATATTATATTACGTATGCTGTACTTAAAGCGAAATATACAAGTATATATACATATATATGTGTGCGTGTGTGTGTTTAAGAAAAGCCGAGAGCGTGCTTTAAACTATAGAGGGAAGCGCTTACTCAGTTAAGTGCGGTATTTGATTGAGTCTGGTCGTGGGAACGGATCAATTAAAATTGATTTATACAAGTGATGTTTTAAAGCTCGCGCTGATGCCTAAAATGTATTGGCAGCTAGGTCTGGTATTTAATAGTTTGCTATTTGTGCTGATCTCTGGGCATGGTAGAAAGCACTGGTCGATACCAGACATGCAAGCATCTACTGGAACACCCACTCAATCGTCAATGTTGTCCACCAAGGAAGTCACTTCTACAGTCACGACAATAAAAGAGCATTTCGAACCCGTAACCTGCCCTCCGGAAGACTTCGATCATTACTACGAGGTGCCACAGGCCGACGGCAGCATAAAGCTGGTGCCACATCGAAACCATTTTCCGCGCACGAAGGCGAACAGCATAGCGGTGCCTCGAGACCTATGTTTATCCAATTCCAACCAAAGTCTGATGCGACTCTGCGAACCAGGACGGGGCGATCTAGACAGCCCTAAGTGGAGAGAACTCGGACCCGTTACTTGTCGCCATCCGGCCAGATCGCAACCAGAAATCAAGCTGGAGACCAGCACTAGCAGTACTTGCGAGGCAGAAGACTTTCAGCATCGCTACCAGTTCCAACTGAGGGACGGCCGCATTGTAACTCTGCAGCATCTGAACAGATTCGGAAGGACTAAAGCCGGAAAAGTGGGCACCATGCGGGACTTGTGCTTAAAGAGCAATGGACTGCCTGTAACGCGTCGTTGCTTGGCGCAGCAAGCGGGCGCAGTCTGGGAAAGCCTCGAGGACGTGATGTGCCACCAGGGATCCCAGTACGAAGTAAGTCAGCAGCTGAACACACTGCACCATAAACTGGGCGAGCCAAATCCACTCAACAGTTATGCGGTTGCCAAGGAAGTTCGCCATTTGTTGGCCCAATCGGAAGAACAGAAGAAACTGCTGCCAGCCGATGTCGTCACGACGGAGGCCATTTTCAGGACACTGGCTGAAGTGGAAAAGAATGCGGAACTCGGCACAGACTTGCTCGGCATTTGCAGCGACTTGATGGCTACAAATACGGACCTGTTGCGATTGTCAGCAGAACTGAACGCCACCAATGGACTGCTGCACTCATTCGAGAGCTACATCGATGCACTGCCGCAGCAGCTGGTGCCGCGCGAGAGCTGCCACCAACCTGTCGCCAAGCAGATGGTTAACAGCAGCGCGGAGGAGGGTGGCGTGAAGATAATAAACTACGCCCATATAGGTGTCCAGGCAATGATGAGCCAAAACCTCAGCGTGTTCTTTGTGAATCCCTCCTGCCATAACATCACGGGAATTGCAATATATGGACAGGAAGCACCGCAACTACTCCCCTCATACAGTGGTTTCTGGTTCCGATTTCTATACGCCAATGAGAGCGTCTATACGCTGAAGACGGAGGCTCTTCTGGAGGTAGCCACATTTCTAACTGAAGAGCTTTGGCACGCCGTGCACAGCCGAGGAGCCAACTATCTAATCTTTAAGGTCTATGCCTATGATACGCTCTTCGTGGAAACTACGGTGGAGCGAATGAGGCGACCGCGCAGCAAGGTGCTCTCCATTTCAATACCCGATTATAAAGGTGAGTCTAATCCTGTGCCACATAAGGATAATTATATCTATCTATCTGTCTACAACAACGCCTTAGCAGCATACTTGCATATAATGTATAAATCATGCATTTAGATCTGGGAGTAGTTTAACTTTTTCCCGAAATTTATTGCGATAGAAAAAATATTATAATTTTATATTATATATTGATGAATGAAGATGAAATAGGATTGATAATAGTTGTTAAAGAGCCAAGCATGCGCCAAATATTTAAATAAATAAGCTAAAGTTATATAACTATAACTTAGATAAATTGCAGATTTTGTTCATCCTTCTGTCCCGCTAGTAGATCACTATATCCCGTAGCTATAGCCATTGAAACTACCAACCGATTTACAAATACCTATAAGGAAAATATTTGTATGACAACATGATTGGATAAAAAGATATCGCAACTACTTTGGGAATTGGGAAGCTTGCAGATATAACTAATGGTATTGATAAGTTTCAGTTGCCATATTTGAATTTAAAGAATAGGCCCAATTCTGTTTTTGCACGGTAGATTGGTGCCAGAAACATCCGTGTAAAAAAGACATTGATCATATGCAAAAATATGTGATCTAAAGAAATATTTGTACATAAACGCAATTTTTAATTTTCAAACCGTGTTATATCAAAATCGTGTCAAAAAAAGACTGTGTAAAAACTGAATTAGTTGTATTAGTATTATAGATGGACATGGACTTTTGGAAACACGCACGCGCACGCACGATGAAAATATTTCTAAACACAGTCCAAAACGAACCTGTTAACCATTAAATGTAAAAACGAAAAATAAACCCATACTTCAAACTTCCATACCCATTTCAAATTTGTATTAAATAATATGTACTTATCCATATTTGAGCTAAGAAGCCGAGCTCGTCGCTTATCTTAAATTTCTCTAGAAGTGGAAAAAACTCGTTCACTTGTTTGAAAAGCTGTCAGGGATCAACAGCACTACATATATTGTTAAATATATCAAAATCTTAACCTACCCAGGTTTTTTTTTATTAGTGTCCAAAAATTAAGAAAAGTGGCGTTGACTATTTATACCCTGTACCCAAAGGGTGAAAGGGTATACTAGTTTTGTGGGAATATATGTAACAGATAGAATGAGGCGTGGCAGTATAAAGTATATATTCTTGATGAGCATGACAAGACGAGTCGATCTATGTCTGTTTGTCTGCCCGCCCGTTCGTCCGTCCGTCCGTATAACCTCCTGGATCTCAGAAAGTATAAGAGCTAGAGACACCAAATTTTGCGAAAAGATGCCTTATGTGTATACGCTGTGCAAGTTTGGTTTAATTTTTTGATTAACCCCCCCCCCCCCCCCCATTCCCCCCTATGGGGTTTTCCCGATTTTCCATTCGTATAATCGCCTATATCTCAGACACTATAAGAGCTAGGAGCACCAAATTTTAGTCCAAGATGCCTTTTGTGAATACGCAGAAAATGTGTGTTTTGTAATTTCCCTCCCTCTCCTCTCTCCCCCGTAATTAGTATTTCCATAACTCTCGTATTTCTTGGAATTTTTCATTGACCGAAACACGGCCCGTGCCCAACTCTAATTTATATCAAAGACTTGTTTGTTTAGAAAATTGTGTGTAGAAAAACAATTGTCGTCAATAATATGGACAGATAAGGGTATTTAGAGTGCGACTCGTAGTCATGTTGTAGACACGTAGTAGAGGAAGATAACTTCTTACCTCGTTGTCCTGTGAAGTGTTTTTGGACATGTACTTCTAGTTCTATTATCACTGTACAAGCTCAATTAGAAATCTCTGACGAAACAGGCACAAAAGAATGTCATGAAAGGTACCCTAAATCCAATTTATAAAACCCCTCAGCCTTTAGGTGCAGACTTTGTCCAATCGACAAAAGGAAAATTAGGTTCCAATAGACCAATAGATAAGCCGCATTCAACGTTTAAAGAAATGTCTGGTTCTATCAGTGCTGCTACATTTGCCTCCTCTCCGATTATTACTATACAATTGGCAAAAAATGTGGCTGATTTTTATGTGGCGGGAAAATTCCACTTAGGCATTCATAGTTTTTATATTATAACAGGCATTGAAAATTTTAACGGTCAGAACTAATGTTATTCGTTGGCTTACAAAAGTAGCAAGCCATAAAAAGATTTCATAGAAAATAAGTTACTTCGTTTTAATTGCTTATATGCATATGCGATTCAACAATCCCATAGACCTGCATCGATTGTTTCTAATTAAAAAATCTTTCCAGATAAACTACCCTTCCCTTTGCCCTTTCTACTGCGTAATGAAAATCAAAAGAATCCGGATAGTCGCGCCATCCAGATGGGCAGCGGTTGCGGTTATTGGAACTACGAGACGTGGCTGAGCGATGGCATTGAGACGACAGGCAACAATTTAATAGAAGATCCCATTATTGTTTGCTATGCCTATCATCTGACCCAGTTCTCGTTCCTGCTGGGCGGCAGCTACGCCCAGCAACGCATCACAGACATTGTTCTCATCGAGGTGGCTTCGTGGCATGAGAGAGTTCTGGACAGAATCTCGATTGTTGGCTGCTGTCTCTCGCTGTTCGGCCTACTAGGGATCTGGGTAACGGCAATACTGTTCAAGAATTGGCGAAGCCAGGCCTCCACAATGGTGCTACTGCATCTTTGTCTGGCGCTGACCCTCCAAATGATTCTTCTCATCTTTCTGAACACTCAAGACGTGGCCGAGCAATTGGCTCTGGAGCGAGATGCTCGGTGTATCGCATTAGGCGCACTTCTCCACTACTCAGTGCTGGTTGTCTTCAGCTGGATGCTGATCATTGCCTTCATGCAGTTCCAGCGCTTCGTCACGGTGATTGGATTTAGGCGACCGCAGCACTATATCGCCATAGCAGCGCTGGTGGCCTGGACTCTGCCGCTGTTGCCGACGCTGCTGTTGGTGGCCCTCGATCCCCAGTCGTATGTGCCCTCGCAGGATCAGGAGGACACGCACACGGCTGTCTGCTATCCATCCGGCTATGGCTTAACCTACGGGGTGGTGCTCCCCATCGCTCTCGTCACGGCTGCCAATGCACTGATGGTCTTCTGCATCATGCACAGCGTCTTCAAAGTGCAAACCAAGAAGCGACAGCTTATCTTCCAGCAACTCCGACTCTGCGTCTTGCTGTTCTTTCTACTCGGCCTGACCTGGATCTTTGGCCTATGTAGCTATATGCGCTTTGGCATTGCTTTCTCGTATTTGTTTTGTGTGACGGCTTCGTTGCAGGGTTTCGTGATATTCGTCTATTTTGTGGTCGTAAACAGATCTACCAGAAATTCCTGGCGAGCTCTCTTAAACGGCTCCAGCTTCAAGGGTGGCCAGCAGTCGAGCGAAGGCGCTTCTCGGACACTCTCCAGATCCACGACGCAGAGTGACAAAACGACCGTCGCGTCTGTTTAAGGTGTAGCTTTGAAGTACAAAAAACAGGAGCATTTTAATATATTCAGCCGGCTTTGCCAAAATATTTAAAACAAAGAGTCAAACACGCGATCGCACATACTCTGAAAAGGAGCTCTTCTATAACTAAGAAGTTACAGTGATTCATCAAACAAATTTTTGGAAAGTAAAGTGTACAGCAATCATTAATCAGAATTAATTTCTTCGACCTAATTTAAATATATTGTAAGTAAAACTGGATTATCTTGAACTTATAACCTCGAAAAGCTTAAATACTTGTAGAAGAAGACACGACAGACCTCATAAAGTTTTATATATAAGCGGCATGAAGAGCTGCGTCAAGACTAGTTTATTCGTGCACAGACCAATCTGTCTGAAATTTAATAAAAATAAATATGAAATAAATTATTCAAAAGCAGCCAGTTCGAACCAGTTTGTCGCACTACTCTCATATTAGCCCATTTGGTAGCTTAACTCCTTAATTATTAAGCTCATTATTATTATTTCTCTGTAGTAATAAAGTATTATGCAACATAAACTTGAATTTAGAAATTATTACTATTATGCAATGAATTTTATTGTGTTGCTCTGATTCCAGTTTCGTCTTTGGAGAGCATTGTTTATTATTTCCGATTATAAGCATGTACGAGTACAAGTTATAAATGTAATCCAATAAATGCCAAAAAATATATATATTCATATTTGCAATTATTTTAAATTAAGTAGCAAATGGTTAATGGGATTTTCACAGAGATCGCCAATCAGTCAGTCAGTCAGGACAAACAGAATAATAGGTGTGAGAACATTTTTTTTTTTTCAAAAAAGCTTGCGTTTCATATGTATTTTAATTTTTCTCAAAAAATCAGTAAGTTTTCAAAACAAACATACTTCAACTGCAAAACAAATAATAAGCCGCTTTACCAATTATTAAACGTTTAGTTAATTCATAAAACACAAATATTTAGCTGGACAGAAACAAATTGTACGAAATATTGAAATATTTTTATTTTACAGGAATGTTATACCAAATGTTATGCTATGTAAATGTGTTCTCCGAGGGCATGGGAAACTAATTATATGCCCCACTGTATCTTTCCTTAGGAAGTATATTCTGTATTTAATCATCCACAGTGATTCGACACCATCAGGCAAGACAACAAAATTATAACCAAGGTGCGAGGCAACCCTTGCAAAGCAGTATCCAAGCAGTGCTTTGGCGAGCTTTTAATTTGGCCATCAAATGGAAATAATAACCGGAATAAGCTAAGTTGGCTAAGATAGGCCTATTTTCTATTGTATGGCAATTTCGATTTTAATTATGGTCGGTATGGATTGATAGACACCATAGATACAAAGTGTATAAAATTTAATGAACATCAAGAAAAACATAAGAAACTAGCATTTAAAAAGTCCTTGCCGTTATTGCTTTCCTATTTAATTAATTTATGTTTAATTTCAAGCGAAAAGGAATTACAAAATCAAAATTCATAAAATTGCATACTAAATTTAAAAGGAAAATTGCAAAGGACGGAGGAATTTAATTACATACCTCAGGAATTTTTATTTAAAACGTGTAACCCTTTTTGTGTTTTTAAAGAATTTTAAATTATAAACACTGTAAAATTGTTAAAAATACTTTAGGAGTAGGTCGACATGGGTATGTGGCTTTATCTTGTCTCTCTCATTATTTAAATAACAATTGTTATTATTTGAAGAGAGGCTTTAAATATTGCAACTGACCGATTTCTTTTGAAATATTTGTTTCTTCGAAACGGACCGGACCGGTTCAAACAAAATTGTGCTTTTAGCGGAGTTACGAACACACCTACAGTTAAACAGAAGCTCATGCTTAGTGCAGACTTGAACCATTAGAACACACCCTGTGCGGCTGTCACCCTGTGTAGTTTCTGCAGCCCAAGACACAATCCAAGAGACACAGTCCACATCTTTGTATTTTTTTCTTACATTATATTATTGATTATATTTATTGCTATAGTAAAACAATTTTAAACAGTTTTAGTGTTAAATGCAGCGCTATGACATAAACACAGTCCAAATGCTGTGCCGATATAATAGAATTTATTCTTTCTATATTTCTTGCGTGGATGTTGGCTGCTGAGAGCTTGCGGTTCGTTTTTGCGGATTCGTTTTCCGTGCATTTTAATTTATCGTTTCTAATTTATGTAAATGATATGACAAACTTAATTTTTGGTGAATGTTTTGTATGACTGGTACGGTGCGGTGCGTATCTAACTTTGTATCGTTTAAGTTTATTTCAGGTGATGCAAAGCCGATTCCGCTGCCGCCGATGCCGATGCCGAGTCGATGTCGACGTCGGCCATAAAATCGTACTTCAGATCGTTATTCATTTATGGTGTGGATGGATGCGTGCGTGAGTCGAGCATGCGGTTGTGTCTGCACAGACGCACACTTTAAAATTATCTAAGGCTTAAATTAGAATAGCTAATAGAATGATTGGCATTGTACATAATACAACAAATTAAAATATCGTTAAATTATATAACAACCCGCAGAAGCAATCAGGCTAAAACGAATTAACCCCATTTAGTGGTAGTGGCTAAGTAGTTGTTGGTAGCTGTAGCTTTGCCTCTGTGAACGGCATTCCACTGTCCGAACCCGTTTCAATGACAAACGAAGCCGCCTAGGCCGCCGATGTCGACAATATTTTAGCGTATTAATAACAAACGCAGCGGTATGTACGAACTTCCGGGTACCACATCCTCTCCATCCGGCAGAAAGTTCTGCGCATAGTTCTTGGGCGTGGGGGTGTTGGGCGGCAAGGCGTATTTTTCGTGCGAGGCGCTCGCAGCATAAGGCAGCACGGCGGCCATTTGGTTGAGTCTCTTGGCCAAGTGAGTGTCCGGTTTCGCCTGTCGCGTCAACGCTCGTCGCGAGAACTGCGCGATGTTGGCCTCATGCAGGCTATCTGCCTGCTGGAAGCGCTGCAAGTGTCCCAGTATGATGCGTCGCAGGGCGGCCATGGTGCTGGGATTGGTCTCTGCGGATAAGGAGGAGTAGGAGGAGGAGGAGGGGGCTTCGTAATGGTAGGCGTGCTGCAGGCTGCGTGAGCTTTGACGCGGCAAATAGGCCAGATTGGTGGCACAAGCCCAGCCCAGCAGGGGCAGGAGCTGCAAATCAACATTTCACCAGGTAAGTAAGCAGACGCCAAAGGCTATGGCCAGACAGGCAAACAATTTGTCAAATGCATTCAATAAATTAAACACTTCTTCAATCAAACAAGCATATTAATGAGCCGAGAAGACGACAAAAAAGAAACCTTTTAGCTTCTAAATTGGACGAGTTTAGCGTGTCTGGCATAAGCAAAAACAATAACTTATTTCCACATTTTGTGGGATTATTTGTCATTTGTAGTTCGACATGAAACCCGATTTTAATGTTTTGTTTTTAGCGTTCAAGAACAACTTACACATATGCACATTCTAAGCATTTTGCTTCACTCTTGCCTTATTTGTTTTAATTTGTTGTGATATTGTTGAAGAAGCGCTCGTCTTCTAGATCCGCACACTCTCCTAGTCGGCAGCCACACAGCAACTGAACCAGCAACGGCCCATCTTCTGAGCAGTGTGTCAGGCTCGGTAGTCGTTTCCGAACTCGTTTCCCCTCCACCATTTCAAGTTCAGGGCCAAGCTGTCCAACTAATGGACCTCTCGCTTCCACACTCAACGCTCGCCTTTTGCATTTGCATAAATTTCATTTGAGTTAGTGGCCAACGCCGAGTGCCGAGTGCCGAGCGCCGAGTGCCAAACATTCTCCATTGCCACTCGCTGGGCCGGTTAGTTAGTCGCTTTCTGGTCTTGTGATGCTTCGTCTTAAAAAGCCTATTCTAATTCGTCTTTGACTCGAGCGGCAGGCACGTGATTTATGCAAACTCATTTTTTCCCGCCCCAGCTTGATTTGATTTGATTTTGTTTCATTTCTGCTCTTCCATGTTTTCCATTTTGCCATTGTTGGGCTTATCAATCGAGTTTAATCGATCAGTGCCCACAAAAAATATTCCCACCATTGAGCGGCGGCGCGAAACAATCGCCACAATCTTCTCACCTCTCGACTGCTCGACAAATGTGTTTGGATGAGGAGGCAGGCTGATTATAGCAGTTACACAACCACCTTAAGCTCGTTTGTATTCTGGAAATGACATTTTTGCACAACCTCTTCCAGTGGGGCCCACTTATCGTACTGGCTAGTTGGCCGGACTGCTGGTCAGACAGCTCGGCGACCGTGTTCGCAGCATTATAATTATGCTAATTCCTTTGATTTCCAAGCATACATCATTCTTATGTGGCTGGAGCCTACAACTAGCTCTTTGCTCGTGTGCGCGTTTTAATTTGCCTTTAAATGTGCGCCCATTTGCATATTTCCTTTGTTTCGACTACAACCCCGCTGAAGAGTGTGTGTCGTGTCGAGATTATTAAAAGTCGTTTGGGGGTCCAAAGCACATTGTATTGTACACTTGCAGAGATATATCTCTATTGAAAAACGATAATGACTATAAAAATTGTTTTTTAATGACGGCTTCTTTATGTTTTGGGAGCACAATGAGCATCGAAACGTGTTAGTTCTGACATGTGATACGCGGTTTTGACGCCTCAATTGAAAAGCGTGCCATATTATGACTCTGTTTGGGCATATTAGCGTACGCTCGTCAATCCGAGCCCGGTAGCTATTCATATGCAAAGTTATTGTAAATTAAATATCATACCATGTTTATCCATTCGTCTTTAATTAGCCGGCAATTTGTAAGCAACTAAATTAATGGCAACAAAAGAGGTTTGGCCATTAGGCCATTGACCCACCACACAAAGAAAACACTTTGCATTCATAATCTACGCTTTTATATCATCTATTGGCTTTATAAACCGTCTGCATAATGTTTGAATCTTTATATTGTTATTTCTTTTTTCTTACTAAAGCAGCCGCTCTTGGTCCTCGCTCTCCGCCTCACTCGTGTAGGAGTCCGTGTCCGTGAAGTAATCATCACGATTGCGGCGACAACAAATGCTGCGTGTTGCCTCGTCGTCGCTCCAGTGCTCGAACTCCTCCTTGTGGTGCTCCAGCAGCATCTGCGATGGAAATAAACTGTCACAGCCGTCGCAGCTGCGGAAAGTAGAAGAGTCAGTGAATACTATACACTACTTGCAAGAAGTATTTCCACATGCTCAAGTGTTGTGTAGTTGACTGAAACAGTACAGTCAGCACGAGGCATGACAATTTTAGATAGAGCTAATTTTGGAGTACCTGGGAAACATGCGTCTCTCTGCAACAATAGCAGGAGCAGCATTAAATAATCTAAACCAACTTGATCCGAACTTCAAGCATGTACATGCCTAATTCTGTTTCTACACGGTCGATGGGTTCCAGAAACAACCAAGTGAAAAAGATATTGATCATATGCAAAAATATGTGATTGGTTCCTTATCTCTAAAGAAATATATATACAATTTTTAATTTTCAAGCCGTGTTAAATCAAAATCGTGTAAACAAAGACCGTGTAAAAACAAAATTAGGTCTACATATGTACATATGTTCCAGTACGACTAGATGAGTGATTGAAGCCATGTCGGTCTGTATGAAATCTAATATCTCTGAATTAATGCTACTGATTTTTTCTTAACTACCGACTCTCTGTAGGTTTCTCCCCAACAGTGGCAATTATAGTACATCTTATCATATTTGATTATAATATACATATGTATAGTTTCCTGCATAGATATTTTTCAGTACGACTAGATGAGCGATTAAAATCTCAGAAAGTATAGGGGCCTGCATTAATGGTACTGATTTTTTCCTTACCACCGACTCTCTGTAGTCATATCATATTTTATTATAATATACATATGTATGTGTAGTTTCCTAGTAATAGATCACCTCTTTCTATGGAAGGTCCAGGGCTACTACTTGCTTGTAATCTCTGCCAAAGCCCTTACAACAGCTGTAGCTCTGGTTTTTGCTCTTGCTTAACGCTGTTCTACACGATTAAGTGTAGACACAAACCCGTTGCAGGCTTGTGGAATTTGTGTTATACATATATAGGTTGTGTTATACATTATTTATATTCAATAGTTTTAATTGTAAATGAATAAAAGAAAAAATGAAAACTTATTTATTTAATATTACTATTATTAAATGAATTATTTTTGTTTTGAACAGCTAACCATTTTAATAACTAATTTAGATAAAAACTATAAATGGGTTTGCTCCAGTCTTAAACCATTTCTCTGAGGTGTTGGTGATACCCTAGGGAATCAACCTTTAATATCATCGAATCAAATTGAAATTATTATTATTTGATCTTTAAGCAGGGCTTATTAATAAGGCATGGTCTCTCTCAAATACAAATAACATATATTTTTGAACTATTTGTTAGGAGTAATGGTGAAATATCAGAAAACATTAAAGAGAGTTGCTTTGCATGACTACTCCAGTTCATATTTTGCAGCATTTAAATATGTATTCTTAAAGGATTTCTAAGATAAATCGTTACAAGTCAACACAGACATTATCGTTGCAATAAATGACGTTTTTCGTAACAATCAGACAATCAGAACATAGCGTCTCTTTGTTTGCCTGCTGGCTGGAATGTTTGAAGAAGACGATTCTATGCTTTATTTAAAAGTATAAGTCTTCTTCACTACATCCCCTGAAGTGTTAGTTCATATGACGTTGTTCACATTCATTTGCCACAGCTTGTTATAGAATCAGTTGCACAACGGAAGCGGAAATGACGTACGCCACGATGGCAAGCAATTAATGACGTACGCGCTTGGATTTGTGCTGCGGCTCACACCAAGAGTTACGTAATTAGAATTTGCAGCTACGCAAATATTTGCCAAGCTGCTTGAGCATCACAAATGTGATAGCAATTCGATTTATATGCAAACTAACTCTATGCTGGTGATGCGGGTACAGCCATTCTCACTTTATATTTGAATCGATTCGTAGCTGCGATGGATGAGCTTGGCACGTGCAAAGCAAAGCGTTTAATTACTATGTAAATTATTTAAGCAATTAATTTGAGAGATTCGTGAAAGGAAAAAATGAGCAACTGCCCGACTGGCGTTCGATTAAGCGCATGCTAGCTAATTCTCTGTGCCGTCCGCCATATTGATGAGGGTCGTTTCCGGCTCAGCTCACAATTTAGCCGGCACGATACCAGTCGAGGGTAAATCCCTACATATATCATATGCTCTTACAAAGGACCATCATATTGCGGGTAGCAGGGTCAGTTCACTTACCCGAAATGCCGCTTCTTCTGCTGATGGGAGGAGAGCTGGCGTTGAGTGCTAAAGCCTCTGTCACAAACGTTGCACGCCAGCGATTCGTCTGTCAAATGAGAAAAAAGGGAATGCCCAGCGGTCAAACATTGAATGATTCGTAATGAATTTGATGGGCTTTTGAACAAAACCAAATGGATGCGGAACATTTCATTACATTACGTAATACTTTGATTTTGATTTTTTGCCCTTAAACATTGAGTTATGGCATCAGTTGAGTGGTGACCTTGCCGCACACTCATATTTAATGCATAGCTCTGAACGGTTCAATACTCGTACACACGCATCCACTTACCATAGTAATAGTCGTCGTCAACGTCTGGCCCGGACTCGGAAAGGGCCAGAATGTGAAGACGTTTTGCACTGCCGACGTCGTTCTGCGTCCTATTTAAAAAGCCAATGCGCTTGTCGCCATCAAAGCCATTCAGGTCACAGCAATCGTTAGCCAGAAAATTTCCCTGGCCATCGCTAGCAGCTGCCGTCCCGAGGGGTGCGCCTTCAACGTCTTTGGCATTCGCTGGGTGCGCCCAGACGCCATTGCCATTTGCACGCCTCGCAATCACTTTCAAGTTATCGGGATCATCAAATGGATCATCGATTTTATGTTGCAATGGCACGACATCCGCGTCCGCGTCCTCGTCCTCGTCCACATCCATGTCAGCACTGAGGCGACCGTACGCCTTGCGTGGCGGGCGTTTCCCGCATTTTCCTGCAGCTAATGACGATGAAAAATGTGTGTTGTAGTTTTCGAAGTGTCTGGATAAAATTTGTGAATGACTTAGCCCCCACATTCTAATTAAAATAGTTTCATAAATAATTTGGATATTTTCCAAACACATTTCGCTGCGGCCACACGTTAGTCACGCATTAGAAATCCCGAATTTCGGCGGCCATTAATGATGATGGAAGCCTCACGAGAAATTTAAATTGAATTTTCGCTCATTTTCAGTTGCTTATTCATAATGTATGTGGCTGGCTGCTGCCATTGAACTGCCTCGCTGTCAGGTGGCTTCACATTCAACTCATCTCCATCGTCCTCACTATCCGCTATAGAAAACATGAATAACCTTCGACATTTTGAACTGATGTGGCTGCTGTCTGGTTCGGAATTGTTGCCCTGTACAGTCATGCTTCTGTATGAAAGCTGACTCTGAGATGTTCGCTGTTGCTTAAAATATCTTCTACAATATCTACTATTAATAATCTCAACATCAACTTCTAGGAGTAAAAATATTCCTACGCACAAAGTCTAACACCCATCATTACGTAACGCTACCTTTGGCTTAGAAATATCTGAGCTTCTGGTAGCTTCGTAAAGTATATATTGTCTTGGGAATATCCAGATGAATTATTTGTTAACAAAGTATAATATTAATGAAGAATGTTACCAATGGAAGTCTTATTTTAGTCGAGGATTACCATATGTTGAGTCATCTACAGACTGTAGGTGTGATTGACTCTAAATTTTCCCTCAAAACATCCATAACATACAACTATAGGTCATATGATTATTATACATTAGAAATCTAATTCTATTTAATCGAATTGCTCACAATTATTGTCTTATTTGTTTTTTTTTTTATTTTTACGGTTAATGTAAAAAATAGTGAAGCTTCACATTTTCTGGTTAAATTCTTAAATACAACAAGTGGAAAATGTACAAGTATGTGCAAAATATTAAATATAAAAATACAAAAAATTCAACAAAATTTAATAAAGAAAACAAAAAAGTATTTTTTAATCGATTATACCTTCTTTAATATACGAACTCAATTATAGAGTGTAAGTCGGAACTTACTACTTATACTACTTATTACTTCAAAATTACCCTCTCAGGACGAAACTTGACACACCTAATCACCTTTCAGGTGCAGAGTATGATTTATTGTTCAAAGCAAGTCTGAAATACTCGTAGAATAAACATTTAAACATTTATTTATCCTTTAAATAATGTTGTTAATTTGAAGCAAACGAATTGTTGCCCATACAGACAGACCACTGTACAAGTGTGGGGTACATATGTAGCTGTATTTAAGCCTCTTTACATGTTGACCAAACACACGCTCGCTGCACAAAATTTGCATACCTAATAAGTTGATGCGTTTTGTGCAACATTCCGGCACTGAAAAATTCGTGCTCATCGATGTATGCGGAATGTACATAAGTACTATAGTACGGATATATCCGTGTATAGTCATTTTTTGGCGCTCAGCATCCATTTGCTGGCGCACTGATGTATGCAAATATAGTGCGCACTCATTTTGACGTAATTCCCGGGGGCCCCCAGCGGTCTCCTGGGGTAGGGCTTTTAGTAGAACCGCTACGCTGATACCGTCCCTTATACTCAAATGTACATACAAGTATATGCGAGTCTATCAAGTATGCATATCCACAACAGCCAGGTTGAATGTTTGCTTCACGGGATCGTGCTTCTCATATTTCCTCTTGGTGCGAAAATAAATATGAAGGACTCCATATACTCGTACTTTTATGTACATATATCGCACGAGTGTATATATATGTATATATGTATGTGTTTATTTTTTGTTGTTCTCGCTTGTGGCGCTCTCGAGCATTTGGTTCTGGCCTTAGTTTTTGTCTGAGTTGTGTTGGAATTGCAAAAGTTGTGATGCATGTAATAAACTTTGCTTGATGTTTTGTGTCTGCAAGTTGGGAGCATGTTCTATGCGAGCACATAATAGTGTTTGGAATACAAGAAAGAGCTTTAAAGGTTATGCTCCCATCTCGAAGCCATGCACATATACTACTAGTAGTATTCACGTGCAGACTAGAACTAAGTCATTTATTAAATGAATACAGCGAATATACATTTGCATAGCAGCGAGTATGAATATTTCATTGTACGCCCAAGATATGGCACTTATATTTCTTCGGAATGGGCCAGACAACTCGAACATGTCACGGTTCAACATAAAAAGGTGAAAGGTGTCGCACTCCACCCCCCCTCCCCTACTCCGGCACACTCCCACACAGACCAATACACTGAGAACGAGTCGCAAACTACGTGCTGTTCAAAGTGTCTGCGTCTTTAAATGGAATATAAATTCGCACTTGTCCGCATTTTTTCACACTTGCATGCCCGCAGACCTCGACTGTTTGCTTAGCCGTGCAGCGATCAGAGACAAAGGCGCAGAGGAAGCTGGAGAGGATGTGTTTGAGAGAGTGTGTTGGGAGAGGCGCAAAGGAAATGGGAAAATGCTTTCTTGCATTCTTCTCTTTGTTTCTTGAGCGTAAACAATCGCACGTGAAACGTCGCTGGAATTTTAATTAACTTGTTAGCATTTTGTATTACGCTCTTTGAACTTTAAGCAGGCTATTGAGTCGACTTGACGATGGCACACACACACACACAAACACACACACACACACACAACTGGAATTGGCTTAAAAGCTAATTTATGTTTTGCAAAATTTTAATGAAATGCACTTAATGCTGGGGCTTGTGCTCGAAAGACAAACAGACCAGCTGAGCGGCAGTCGGTGGATTAAAATGTCTTGCCAGCTGTGCGACAGATGTTAAGATATTAGCCAGTTAAGAAACCTGCTTACTGCCTGCAACAAGTTCTGGGCGAATGCCTCAAATTCCCAAGTCTTAATTGGCATATTAAACAGAATGCTTGTAAATGCAAACAACTCCATTATTGAGTTGCGAAAGCAAGCAATTATAAATTGTGTATGCTCATCACTTAATCCCATCATTCGAGCCAACGCTCTCATGCTTTTCAGGCACGTGGTCCTCGTTGAACCATGTTCGAGCGCCCTAAAGTATGCAACACAAGCTGCTCTCGACCACAGCTCACTAACATTGATGCAAGCCACATGTCAAGTGTAATCAAATGAACGCCAATACTATATGTACATACAAGTATATAAGCCGCAGCAAATAAAAGTAATACGCACGCTCCCAAAACTATGGAAATTAAACCTCGTTTTAAGCGCGCGCATTTCTCCTTTTCCAAAGCAACCTACCTTTTGGCTTGGTGCCCCGATAATGTCAGGTAATGTGACATTGAAAAACTTGACAAGGGTATATGTCCTTCGACGTATGAATGTTAGCTTATAGCTTCTGATATTTATCTTTGCAAATCTCGCTGGTCCGTGCAGTGCGGTGGGGCGTGGTACGAGTGTGTGCTGAAAACCTCATCAACCTTAAGTACAACGCTTAATTACCTACAGTGAGAGGAGTGGCAGGATCCATTCCCGAGCCAATGTCTGCATTGCTTCGCTCGTTGTGGACGTGTGTAAGTGCCTACTAGAGTGAGTGCGAGGTTGTTTAATGGGTGTTTTCTTTGTGTTATATTACTTCATTTGTCTGCCCTCACGACTAAATCTGACATTGTTGCTTTGTCTGTGGTTGCTTGTTTTATGGGCTCGCCGAGCTGCCTGCTCCAAAACCAAGGCAGACACACACTACTCGTATATTCTTCCGCTAACCTCGTTTAATATCAAAGTTCTATTTTTATTAATTTCGCGGCCAAAGTAAAACTGATGACCTTTAGCGCCCTCTCCTCAATCGCACACATTTGTATCTATTAATAGCAATTAGTGTGTCCTTGCCTGTGCATGAAGTATTTCTTGCTGCTCCGTTTTTCTCACCTGCTCCCTGTGCATTATTCAAGTTGTTGTAGGCGTTCCTACTGTTGCTGTTGCTGCAATTGTTGTTCAATGAATTGAACAAATTTGCCGCTCCGGTGCGGCGCAAAATCCAAAACATGCTGTCCTTACCTTTGCTGCCTTTCAGCTTGGCCCGCAATGTTTTCTTTCCCTTCCCTTTGCGCAATCTTTGAGCTCGCTTTGGGCTTTGGTAGTTATGTAGCAGCTTCTACTTTGCTGACAACCTTTTGCATAAATCTTGGGAGCAATTTATTTTGTCGCTGTTTACTTTTTAATTAATTTCGTCGCGAGAGCCTGGTTCACGTTTTGTTTGCTGTGGCCATTTTTATGCGCCGACCTAATGACACTTTCATGAATTTGAAAGTACATTAAAAGAGCGTCTGACACACTTTGCTGACACAGCTAGATGCTGGCAATGTGTGCCTAGACATGTACCATAATGCGGGTAAGATCTGTGGCTCCCCAAGAAGTTGGACTTTATGCATAAAAAAGCAACGTGTGCCAATAAAATAAAACAATTCAGAACAGTTCAGTTTTCGCTTCAGTTAAACAGCGCCTGCAGTATCCAGCATGTCCTTTTATTTTTTTGATTAAGGGTCTCGCGCTTCCGCGTAAGTACCGTTCAAATGTGTTGGCCGCTGCTAACTGTTTGTTGGCCTTCGTCTTATTCTTTTGGCTTTGGCCAGCACAAAACCCAACGCTACGTATACGTAACGTAACAAAATTGCAGGCGGGGCATGCCACAACAATTGGTGAGAGAGTTCACAAATTTTGCGCATGCGCCCTAAAAAAACATAGCCACCAAAATTGTTGCTCTTAAGTGCACTATGTTTGGGGCAAATAACATCGAAATTAAAGTGAATAAATATTAATTCAAACTAAACAATAGGCTGATTGCCAAAGGCATAAATACCTATTCCACAATCTGCCATCATTTAAACATTTAATCATTATAGAATGCTGGGAAATGAAAATATATTATAAGCTTAAACTATGCAAGGTTATTCGGCGGCTTTCTTCCAAAGCTGCCTTCTAATTATTATTGCTAGCCATTTCGATACGCAACGATGAAGAAGCAAGCTGCGCAAATGCATCAGTCATATTAATTACCCAATCAATTATTACAGAGACGACAGTGAATCAAAGGCAATAGCTGCAGAGAAAAAAGAAACGTGATCGAAGCGTCCGCTCGCTCGTAGGCAGAAAGGCAATCAAAATGCTGATGTGTCCATAAAACAAAGGAATAAAGCTGCGAGCAAGCGAAAAAGTTATTCGTAAAATTATTAGCCATTGTCCAAGTGTGCAAATGAACTTTTTATCGCCATAGATAGAGATGTCGATATTCTAACAAAAGGAAATCACCCGACAATCTGCTGCTTACGGCTAATACCTTTAAAAAGCTTCAACCAAGAGTTGTGGAACACAAAATTGGCGCACCATTTAATTACTTAAGTGTAGTATTTATTTTCCAATGAAGCCAACGGCACACATCTAAAGCCTTGATGTTTATGTTTGAAAACGTTTTTGAAATTCGTTCTCTTTTTGAATTGCAGCTTGTCTGACAAACTTTGCTTACTCGTACATGGCATTGTGGTTGGAGATGTGTTGCTGTTGACATTGCTGGGAAATTCTTTACAATTTATTTCAAGTTACGCATGATTTGATTCCTTTGCTGACTTTTTGATCTGTTGCGACTGTGTATGTGTGAGGTAAAGTTTTGCAAACGTTTTTCATGCCATTAGGGAATATTTGAACATGCAGCCATCTATTTGAAGCTTAAAGTTTGCTTTCAATATTTGCCGTTTTTTTTTCCATTGCGCATACGCTCAGTGGGCCGCCAACAACAAAATATATACTAAACAGCAACGGCAACGGCACCTGCGACTGCATCTGGCATACACAACCACAGCACGCAATTTTCAAAAATTAACTTCTGTCGTATTGCAGCAAATGTGATTTCCATGTTGCATTTCAATTTTGATTTCCCTCTGACAACAGCTGCCCAAAACAAACGAAGCCGAACAAAACCACAGAGAAGCAAAAACCAGCTGGACAAAATGTTTAAAATGTGCAAATTTGCAAATTCTATGCCAGTCCAGTGCCTGTCACGTCCTTGGCCAAGCTGGAACAGAGATATTTAGCCACATAACCCGTCGACACACGCACACAGACACCATCAATCAGCATTCATGCCCACAGAGATATCTCTTCTCAGAGCAGCCAATCAAACAGAAAAAACATTCACTTTCAATTACTGTACTCGGGCCCAGGCGGCATTTCCCAAGCTCCTCGTCATTGTTCATAATTAAGTTGCACCTTATATTGCGCTTGACAGGTGACTGGCCCAGGAATTGATAAATAACGTTCGCTCTTAATAATATCGACTACAACGCTGCTGCGAGGCTGACCAAACTTTTCATACACACCCAGTACATATAGTATTAATGACTGCAGATCCCGATAGTCCGAGGAGATAAATCAATAATGTTATTTCATGCGTGTGGTAGTATCTTATTTATCATTTCAATATCATAAACAAAGTCAACGTATATACTTATGAAGCAAATGGAAAGAAAACTCGCAAAATCAATTCAATTGATTTATTCTCTTTTCCTAAGACATTATGAATTTACAAGTGAGGCTAAGATGTCTTTTTGTTAAGAGTACAGGCAGCTTAACCATTTTTTCTTAACTGAACAAAATGGAGAAACATAAAAACTTAAACAACAATTGACAGAATAAAGCGATAAAAGATATACAAAAACAAGAGAGAGATAAAAAACTAAAATAATCGCGTATAGAATAGGGACTAGGAACGTCTTCATACCAACTTTGGTTAATGTACGCCGTTTCCGAAATCCAGGCGTTCATCCAGTTAGACGGACACACGGACGGAAATGCCTGGATTGATTTCTCTCGTCATGCTCATCAAGAATATGTGTAGTAAAAGTTTAATATAATAATGCTTAATGACTTAAGCTTAAGCTTAAGTATATTAACATGTGTATTGAATATGATTTGAACTCTACATATTTGACAAGAAACGTTCATTACAGGAACTCAATCATATTTGATGAATACGCTCAACAACCTACCCCCAATTGCCAAATTGGCTAGGGTTATTAACTTAACTACAAAAACTTCTAGAACTTTAATGAAAATGTTAAATTGATGAAATGTTAAAATTTTTAAGCAATTTTTAGGTACATGAAATATACTAGAGTATATTAGGTTTGCGGGAAGTGAAAAATGTAACAGCCAGACCCCACAAAGTATATATATTCTTGAGCAACATGACAAGACGAGTCGATCTAGCCCTGTCTGACGTCTGTCTGTCTGTACGCCTGTCCGTCCGTATGAACACCTGGATCTCAGAGACTATAAGAGTTGGAGACACCAAATTTTGCACAAAGATGCCTTATGTGAGTTTGTTTTATTTTTTTGATTTTCCCCCCACAGAGTATTTTAAAGTCAGGACACCCGACTTTAGTTTTTTACTTGTTTTCATATATGCACGTATATGCATACTTTCTGTTATAAATAATATATTTTGATGACCGCTAATTAAATTAGAATTCTTCAATCTTTATCTCAAGTTAGTGGAGCTCTTTTAGGTTTTGTAAAGTCTCTCTATTTTACGGAATGACTGTAGAGACATTAACACATTTCTAAAGCTAAGTACAATGTATGAACGTAGTTAGGTACTACGTTAGTTGTAACTACTACTACTATAGTTGTAAAATTTGCTGGTACTACCAGGACTTTGATCTTACTGTCTGAGTTAAATTATTGCTTTGCTGTAGCGGCCCTCTACCTTGAAGCGGGTTTAAGCTCGACCAAATCTATTTAGCATTTCAAATTCGCTTTAAAAGCTGTTTTACATGGATACACATATTTATATTTGTTTAAAATCTTTATCTTTGGTTTATTTAAAGTAACATTTGTGACATTTTCGCATCAAGTCTTCAATATAAGTATCTTTAGTGCCGCACAGCAGGGTTCTAACAATGCGCAAAAATTGAAATGTAAAACCTTGAACTTCTGGCCTTGAATTATAGAAAAATTCAGTCTCTTTGATTCCAACACTTGCTAGTGTAAAATATTTTGAACTGCCTCCAGCACCTGCAAAAACTTAAGTGGGCAATCATTTGAGTTCGCATTGTAGATTTTAAGTGTTCTGGCCATTAATTTTTAAACATTTTTGCATTGGCGGCAATTTTCTTAGACAATAAATATTAAAGGGAAACTCAAATAAATTGTTCGTGGATGAGGAGCGCGGTGTTGGCGGCGACGACAGCGGAGGCGGCAAAGATGTCGTTATTTTTGGGAGCAATGAAAAGTTTCACACCTGCCGCACAAATACACAGACTCAAGCGTAGAGGTAGACGCGACACATTGATTGATGGGCACAGGAATGTGGCATGTGGAGGAGGAGCAATGCATACCTTCGTGTGTTCGAGTCGCACGTTGCCGCAATAAAATTGTTGGACCTTCGTCAATTGCTTGGTTTTTATGTGTATAGCTTAATGGCAGTTAATGTAAATTGTTGTACTATATAGTAAATATTCTAAAACAAGTTATTATTTAATAAATATTCGATACTTTGTTCATACAATTGACTCCCTCTATCTGAGAAGCGTCAAGTGTTTGAAATTTCCTCGAGTAATTTGTGAATGAGATGATCAAAGATTGAAGCAGAGCGAACTTGATGCTGCAGCTTGTGGGCGTAGTCCCGGAGTGAAATTGTTTCGCTAATAACTTACAATATTATGTATAAATTATGTGTGCAAAGTTTGGTTAAGGTAGTATTCAAGTATATATACATACGTGTATATGTACATACATATATTCCTCTTCATTTCAGATAGAGATTGAAAGGTTAATAAACAAAGTGCAAATTTCATAAATTATATATAATATACATATATACATTAATATAATATGATAGAAAAGAGTGGGCGTGGTTCGGTCAACGTAAACAAATGTCAACTTTTTATATATATTATTACAAAATTGGAAGTCCCTACGAACCGCATTTTATTTTATGCCCCAACTTCTTAATCCGGTATGGAGTGGTTTGAAACTTCGCTAGTACCACCGTTAAATTTCGAATCGCTCTAATTATAATAAACAATTGCCTATGTGCGTATAGAATAAAATATGTCCATCACAACTGTTCACTACACTCTATGTATGTTATTTTATTACATATCTTTATTTTAATTTAAAATATTATAATATAATATAAATGATAGTTTTTGTAAAATGCGTTGATTTATTAAATAAATAAATAAATAAATCTGAGAAACGTCTAGTGATGGGATCTCCTCGAGTAATTTGTGGATGAGGTGGTCAAAGATTGCAGCTCGTGCCTAGATTTCGGCAAATCCACATCTGTCTTCTGCTTGGGACAGAACAGTCCCAGCCAGGAACGTCGATTGTCCGCATCGAGCAGCACGAAGTAGACAAAGAGGACGAAGCCCTGCAGCGTAGCTGTGAGACAGAAGAGGTAGGAGAAGACAACGCCTGCTTGCATGAAGGCAAAGATACCAAAGATCCAGGAGAGTCCGAGCAAGAAGAATAGCAACACCGAGAGCCGTATCTGTTTGATGACAAGATCCCGCTCTGTGTGTCTCAACGTCTGTCCCAGAGAGTGCGTTATACTATAGAAGACATATACAAAAATGATTAGATTCGCGATTGTGATAAGCGTGACGGGCAGCACGACTCCAAAAATGAGGCCATATCCAGTGGGGTAGCAGATGCCCGTGTCCGTCTGTAGCTGAACATCTGAGGGATAATATGATGTCGGATCAATGAGAGCCACCAGCAGTGTGGGTAGCAGGGGCATCGTCCAGGCCACAACAGCAGCTTTCAGAACATAGTGATCCGGTCGATTAATGCCAATCACTGTCACATAACGCTGGAACTGTAGGAAGGCAATGATCAGCATCCAGCTGAAGAGGACCAGCACCGAATACTGCAGCAAGGCTCCCAAAATCACGCACCGATCGTAGCTCTGCGTTGTGATCAAATGCTCGACAGTGTCGTCGGTATTCAGGAAAACGAAGAGCACCATCTGAAGCGTCAAGGCCAGGCATAGGTGAAGGAGCACCTTTGTCGAGGACTGATTACGCCACCTCTTAGATATTGCCGCAGTCAGCCAGATGCCCAATAGACCAAACAGCGAGAGACAGCAGCCCACAATCGAGATAATGTCCAGAACTTTTGCATGTAGCGGTGCTATCAAAACTTCCTGACCGTCTGCATTTATCCGATAATTGCCGCCGACCAGTGACGTGAACTGTGTCAGGTGGCTCGTATAACAGACACTAGTGACATCTGACAAGTTCCCTTTGGTCGTCTCAACGCCATCGGTCAGCCAAGTCTCATAGTTCCAGTAGCCGCATCCACCCTCCGGACTCTGCTGGTTTTCAGTGCGCAACAGAAAGGGCAACTTATAAGGTAGTTGAGCTGTAATTTAAGTGAAAATATTATTGAATTTTGTATGCTTTCATACTTTCATATACTAGATACGGAATTTGTAAATGATAAATAGTCTATATAAATATTTCTCTCCCTATAATTAACACACATATATAAGGAATTAGGAACAACTAATACCTGGCTACGAATTAGGGCCTAACTGGAGCAATGATAAATAAAATTGCGCCAACGTGTCGTAAATTTAGTGATATTCTTCAATACAAGTAGTTTTCTTAGTTCTTAAGTGGAATTTTTTAACATCTGTCTAGTTGACTTGATAAAGCAAGATAAATCTTTAGTCAGAGAAAAGAATAATAAATTGCAAACCTACACCTCGACCTTTTCGGACGTAGATTATAAAACTTTTTCCAGAAAATGTTATATTGTTTCACTATTCCTTTATAAATCGAAGTGCTAAACTCACCTGCATAGTTGGGGATGGAAATGGAGAGCACCTTGCTGCGCGGTCGTCGCTTACGTTCCGTGGCCCTCTCCACGAATAATGCGTCATTAGCGTATACTTTGAAGACCAAATAGTTGCCACCGTCATGCTGCACAGCCTCCAACAACTGCTGATTGAGAAAAGTAGCAGCTTCTAAATTGGGCTCCTCCTTCAACAGGGTTACGGTCTCATGGGTATGGACAAAGCGGTACCAAAATCCTCCATGAGCCAGTTGTAACTGAGGCGCTCCTTTCGAGTATATGGCAATGCCCGAAATATTGTCGCATGTGGGATTCACAAAGAAAACGCTAAGATTGTTGCTCATCAAAGCCTGCACGCCTATCTCTGTGAAGCTTCTGCTCTCCACCCCAGTTTCCTCTTCACTGGAAAAGTTAAACGAAGCCACAGCCACTCGCCCACAACTCTGATGCGGCACCAGCTGGTCAGGCAGGGCGTCCATGTAGCTCTCGAACTGATAGAGCAGAGAATTGGTTGCATTAAGCTCCGTGGCAGACTGCCGCAGTACTATCGGCTGACTGGCCATCACCTCGCTGCAGACGCTGAGCATATCTGAGCTGAGCGCCGCATCCTTTGCCTCCTGTTGGAGAGCACCGAACACTGTGCTGCTGATGTGCACATCAGTGGCCTCCAGGCGATGTTTCTTTTGTCGTAGAATTCTCCGAACGGATGCACTCACATTGCGACGTTCCTGGGATTCATTTAAGTGACGGCGACCAGTGAGTATTTCGTTTTGAATGCTTTTTAAGTCGGGGTTGTCCGTATGTAATATCTGGCTCTCGTTTGTGGCGATATCTTTCTTCAGAGGCGTGCATCGAATTTGTGAGGCGGGCGGAATGGCTTCCCATTCGGCACGCATCTGCCTTAACAAACATTTTCTTTTGAAGATCAATCCATTGGACAAAAAGCACTGATCCTGTAACGCTGCAAACTGATCAAAGGCAGTGCGATTCCAGTATGTGATGTGCGGGGGTTTCCCATAACGAAATTCCTCCTGTGCACAGTACATTTTTGCGCAATAGGCCACACCTGATATGGGGTAGCGAATACGCGTTTCACAACCATATTTCTGTGGCTTATTATTATTAAAAACGCACAGCAATTTGTCTAATGGACATGTTACATTATCTCCACTTAAATCCTCCCTAGAATCAGTTGCACCAAGTGCCAAAAGCACAGTTGCCAAGAAGAACAAAAACACTGAACGACTCATCGCCTATTAGTCATTTTTTTCAGTTTAAAGTTGAATTTTATGAGTATTGTGGATTAAGTAACCATCACACGTCCAAGTTCCAGCGCGTTTTGCAAAATACTGGCCACTTCGCGTTCGATGCATGCACCCGAAGTCCCAATCTTATCATAAGTATGTACATAGTGAGTGGCGATCAATTATCGAGCTTTTTGTGGTGCTCAAGTTCAACGAACGTACATACATACATACTTACGAGTAATCGCGACTAATGCCATTATCTTTACACGATAAGGTTTTGCTGTAAAAACGAACGTTTGAGCTTAGGCACTTATATGTTTGGTCATTAGCGTGCCTTCGTCAAATGCCTAACAGACTTCCCACCAATGCTACGACGCATGAAATTCTTCGGAACTATAAACTGGAAAGCGAAGTTTTATGACGAATTTCGTCTCTGCCGCACTAGACGAAAATCATACGAGCAATAACTAAGCTAACAATCAAAACTTTCTCGTACTTATACTTGTACATCGAAGAAACTTTTAAATAATGGCCAAAGGCTAGTACTTTATGTAATGAAAGCACTCAGTCGTATAATGTAATAAAATTTATGGAAACTTAGCATTTAATAGCAATTTAGGGATCCAAGTTTTTCAAGTTTTTGGTTATTTTCAGTTTTCCAATTGTTATACACCGTATCCAACATATGCTTTTAGTTTGCATAACATTTATGATTAGAACTTGCTCTCCAATAATCATTATTATTTATGCAAAAACCCAAATCATAAGAGCAATAACTAAGCTAAGAATCAAAACTTTCTTGTATACTTGTACATCGAAGAAACTTTTAAATAATGGCCAAAGGCTAGTACTTTATGTAATGAAAGCCCTCAGTCGTATAATGTAATAAACATTCTTGGAAACATTCTTGTATCCAAAACGTTCAAGCTTTTGGTTATTTTCAGTTTTCCAATTGTCATACACCGTACCCAACATATGCTTTTAGTTTGCATAACATTTATGATTAGAACTCTGCTCTACAATAATCATTATAATTTGAGCAAAAACCCATTGTAGGGGCGTGGTGGTGCATCAAAAAATATACATTTGTCCTTTCTTGGACTGGGGAGAACCTGAATAACCAGTTCTACATCAATGAATAGTCATCACTGATCAGTGATTGCTCCTAAAATCAGCAATGTTAGCAGCCCATCGAAGTTCTCAATTTATATTTAGTTGGCAGGACCATGAAATTGGACTTTAACTTGGTAGCACTGGCAACTTAATGAAACACTTGCTCCCCGCAACACTTTTAAGTACAAACAGAACTTACACCCGTAAAACACTTGAAAATGTTCTGGCGTAAGTATCTGCCATAGTTTTATTGATTTCAAATCGTTTTCTTTCATTAACGATAAATGCGCAGGTGGACGCATCAAGTCAGGCCAGCCTTTTGAACTTCGTTCCGGCGGTACGGTCAAGGTTGTGGGCGCATTGATGCGCGGCGGCCTACGCGGACGTGTGAAGTTTTCAGTCGATGGCGAGGAGTTGGATCTGCTTGATGTGCACTACAGCAAGATTGAATATCCGCTGGCCTTGACCATTGCCACGGGTCAGAGGATCACATTTAAGGTTGATGGTTCGTTAATTCGAAACTGCGGCCATTATGGGCGCACTCTAACCTCAAACCTTCTGCGTATTGTAGGGGATGCGTCTGTCTGGCTATACGGCCATATTGATACCGAGAGCTGCGACAACTATTGCCTTCCGCACGACAACATACTCTACCAGCGGGACAAGGCCAAAATATATGGCGAACTGAGCTCCGACGAGGAGACTACGGGAATTCTACTCTAATATGGGTTGACAGCACGCTTGAGAGTATTTGCCACAAGTATTTGCATTTTTTATGACAGCCAAATCCAACCTTTCATGTGGGTTGATTTCCCACTCAGTCGTTCAAATCAACTGTAGCGCTTACAATAAGTTCCAAATGCACGTTTCGTCAAGGACGTAAAAGCTGTGTGGTCTGTCTTTCACTGTGGCTGCTGGTTTATATAAATACATTTGCACATACTGTACATATTTATGCATGTATGTATGTTTGTAGTTGTCTTTATGAATGCTTATGTAGGTCCCTGAAGGAAATTGGTGGCTTGTTGACACGTTTTCAATTATCAGTCAAATGCCGCCACGTCACATCCTGCACGCTATTGACGAATTCAAATGTGCGTGTACAGTACAGTTGATTGAGTTGCACGTAAAACTCACGCATACATACACATCAAATCAAATATGTCACAACATTTCGACTTTTCTTCTTTATTGCTTGCCAAAAATGTGGCCATGAAACGAAATTGCAGCGCCACAAAGTTGGAAATAAGGGGAAACATTTGAGGGTACAGCTTTAGTTCCTTCTCCCTACAAGCTTTTGCGCAAATATTTTCGTGCTATGGAAAAAAACAGTTGGTTACTAAAAGCCTTCAGTTCATTAAGTTCAAGAATTCTGCCATCAAACAACAATTTTGCTCTCTCTCTTATGCAAATATTTTAACCGCAAAAGCATTAACAATGTAGTGCTATATTGTTGCTTGCCAACTTGTTGGCCATTAAATTGCTTGTAAGATATTAAGTCATCTTATAGCCTTTATTGGGATATAAAGGACACACATATCATATTTCTTGGGCAGGCAAAGCTTTTTTAATTTTGCTAAGCATTTATCTTCTATAGATACTTGTAAGATGGAGGAAAAGTCTGCCATCAAAATGAAATTACGTGGCCACAGTTTCGTTTATTTGCTGTTGGCAAAGAGTCGAGTCAGAAGAGTTTCAAATTTTCCTCTGAAAACAGTCAGTTTTCGGGAACTCTATTTGAGGAAATTATATGTCAATAAGCCATGCACACCATCAAATTGCAGCCATCCTTGTTGTTGGTTCGGGCAAAATCCAATTAGTCCTGGAACAATTTCCAAACGTCAGCACCAGTCCGTCAAGTAAATAAAAATAACCGCAAAAGTGAACTTGCAGTGGCCGCAGCAAAGAGCAACAAGCTACTGCCCTAACAAACCCATCTCTGCGCATTTGCGTTGGCTAAACAAGTCGGCGCCACGGAGGGCCGGGGAATCACTCAACAAAGCTTGGCAGTTGGCGGCTGCTGTGGTCGTTGGTTTGGCTTGGTGGTGGTGGTGGACTGTGGCAGCAAAAGCAATAAATTTTCCAGTGCCGAGTTAACGATGTCCACATAGTTGTCGCTGCAGTCGTCATGGCTAAAGGCAGGACAAGTTCACGCCAAATGCGATTAGGGTCGATTTCCAGTAAAGTTCTCTTCTTCGAGTTCTTTTCTTTTCTTACAAAAACGCTCAAATTAAGCTGCCGCCAATCAATGGGACGTGCCAACATTTACGCACTTTTAATGACGCCAACACAGACAAGCATTTAATATGGCAGGCCACAAACTGCGCCTATATGTGTATGTAGTATTTGTTCAATAAAAATACGCCAAGTGCGACGAACCACAGTTGCACGTTGACTTTTAAGCACCTTAATGCCACATTGAACGCCCCGACCTCAACTGCCACATACACTCAGAAAAAAGTTTCTTGAAAAGTACCAAAGCCGTTCTAATACTGCAATTGTCTGAAAAGTTGAAAAATATTTGTTTCCCTAAGCGTAGAAGTTGGTAGAAACCAATATACTTGTAAAAAGGAGGGAATATTATAGTCAAAGAAGTCCGGCAATGAAATACGCTGTAACTAAAAATTAGTTAATTATAAAGGTTAATAAAAATTATAAAGATAAATACAAATTTTGAATGTTAAAAATAACACTAATAATAAGAAAATAACCTAATAATGAGCTGAATATAATTAGATTTGTAATGACTAGCGTAACAATTTCAAAGTAATCCAATACTTGTAACGCTAGGATAAGTCTTACAAATTAATAAATAAACTTCGTATTCTATATGTGTTGTTATATGCGCCATTAGCAGAAGCCGAATTCAAGCCGAATTATCCACGCAGACAGATAGACATGTCTGGATCGCTGTCTGATTAAAAAAATGTTGGGATGTAGATGCTTACAGTACTGGCTATTAAAAAATATCAGCTTACTATTTATATCTCTAATTGCGATTTTCTTAAAAGAGAAGGCACGTGAAAATAGGAATATTGTTATTAGACAAGAGTTGAATTCAAGTTTTTAAAATGTACATTTTACAAGGCAAATTAAAGATTATTTTAAACTAACAGTACCATTCGAAGTAATTCAAAAATACTGCGATTTTGGCGCAAATTAGTTGTCAGTTTCATGTGATTGCTTTAAATTATCGACTACCTTTCATTAGAAAACCAAAATGTTCTTGTTATAATAAAGTGAATAAATTAAATGCGAATTATCTCTGCAAAAAATGTATTTTTTTGAAGCCGATTTTCGAAAACTCAACGATTATTTTATTGTGTTTTTGCGAGAGAGAAAAAAAAAGGGGGGGGGGGGGACAATAAAGCCGTTATGTGTTTTTGAAAATGGCAAGTGTTATGGGATTTTTTATTGAGTGCATTGTAGCGTTTTTCATGAAAATTCTGGAGTGCTTATACTCGTACATTTAAGCAACTAATGCACTCGAGTGTCATTAAACTTGGCTCACAGCTTAAAGCAGCTGTTAGGAATCTTTGTCATTTGCAGTCGGCCCTGTGGCAAAGTTAAATTGAATTTTCTACTTCAGCACTGCACAAAACTGGCGTTCCGTTCCAATCTGTGTAGTGCCTGAGTCGGACAGGATGCGGTAGGGATTTAATGAAATAGAGCCACACGCGAGCATTGTAAAGTACTTTTTTTTGGGCTTTTAACGTTCTACACGTAGACATTAGTCGCATGTGTCCTGCGCTCTGGAATTTGCAGGTGTTGAATTAAAGCTGCAAGGGTTTTACAATTTTTAGCCGCCTTAATTTCGTGCAATTACCATAGCAGCCTATTTTATTTATGCGCATAAAAAACATTGACAGCATGAACACCCACAGCGCAAACTTTGACACACACACATACACATATACATGTATATATACATTATATTTACTTCACACACACTGCAATTTAATTACAACAGCTGTGCCAGCAGCCAGCTCTCAGCTCTCGACCCTCGGTCTCAAATTCTGGGCTCTCGACCCTTGGTCTCTTGATTTTGTCTGCGCTCGCAATGTTCGTGTGCGTCCTTTTCAGCCCTGCAGGCTGCAGTGCAGCAGCAAAGGCATTTAATTTCATTGAAAAACAGGCAACAGTTGCCTAATAAACTGACACATGATGCCGTTTGCTTAAACTTCTAACAGGATTAGGTGGCAGCGTATAGTACATGAAGTTGCTCCTCCGGCTGGCTAGGAGATGCCTGTCTGCATGCCTGTATTCCGAGCTCGAACTCAGTAATTTGCATAAATTTGGTTTTCATTTCACTTGGCACAGTTTGTTTTACGGAGTGTTCAAAACCAGCTGCTACACATATCATTTGTCAGGCACAGATTCGTGGAAATTTTAGAAACACGTGGCTTAAATTAAACACGTACATAAGTACGATTATATACGTATTCCTATATATAAGTATATGTATTTTCTATGTATTGAACAATTCGTTGCCTATTGATTGCAAGCTGCTGCTCGCCGAGTAACAAAGTTATCCCCTTTATCGATTTCAACTTCTAATGGCCATGGCAGGAAATTGCAAAGGAAATGAAAAGGTTTAAGTGTTCAAATGTTCAAATGAATGGATGGCCCCATTTCGATGAAGAATATGCTATGAAGTATACTACTATACTATATATATCTGCAGCCACACCATACACCACCCATGACGAAATAAAATGAAATTCAATTAGATTAGGTGAACGAATATCAACAAGCAAACGCTTTTACGGCTTAAAGCCAATGTCTAGCTTCCAATTAGAAATTCGTTTGCATTCCCTCTTTGCTGCATGCCAACAAATAAAAGAAATAAAAGAAACAAAAACCAGATAAAATGAAAACTAAAACTTTCCACAATATTTACAGTATTTGGTTGTTCCTGGCGACAAAGCCACGTATGGTATGTGCAGCACATGAGTAGAAAATCAAATACTTGCGAGAAGACAAAAACTTTTGACAACCAGCACTAAAATTGCAGAATACGTTTCTAATGAAAAACCACTTAGACAGACAAAGAAGTGCACTTAGTTGAGAAAAGCTGCAGTCGAGGCGGCGTGGGTGGGCGGGCCAGCACGTGCTCGGCCACTCAAACAAGTTGTCTCCAAGTAATGACAAAATAAGCCCTGCCAGCCCGTAGCAAGCTTTTAACATTACTTCCTCCACACGATGCATTTTGCAGCACGCTTAAAGGCTTGCAGCCTACAAATCACGTGCTTCTTGCTCAAAAAGTGTACACGAGTTATACTTGAGGGGTCTCCTCTTCATGCTCTTCTCCATTTCCCCCCACCGGGCATGAGACAGTGAATCGTGGGTGTTGCTTTTTACTGTTGACCCAGATGGTGTGTACTCGACGTACTCCAGTACATATGTACTCAGTAGCCATATTAATTCATTAAGTGTTGATTCTTATCGCCTTTTTGAAATTAAAACTGTTTTTAATTAAAATGCATGTAAACCAATAGCTCAACAAGCAATTATATTACACATATGCATGTTACCTCATTACTCACTCATTAACTCTTATGTGCTGTACTCTTAAAAAATTGTAGTACTTGCACTTGAAGAAAGACGAAGCTTGCCGCTATCAAATATAAGTTGTAGAGTTAAGTTGAACTTACAATTTTTACTGATTGTTCCTAGAATCTATATTTGTTGATGAAGTAATATACTAATATATTATCAATCAGATATCTGTTGTGGAGGGAGCGCAGAAATCACGTTTCAGATAAAACTTGGAACATTAATTTCTAAGCTCTAAAGAAAGAGTGGGATTTCTAAATCGAGAATAAATGGAAAAAAATCAACATAAGCTAAGTCGTTTCTGAACTTCCGAACCTGTATAGAAAAATAGAT